CGAGACAGGCCCGGGCCCTCCGGTGTATTAACACCAGTCTGAGATGGAGGGAGCGAGCCGGGGTAAATGGAAAGAGTGTTTGCACAGTAAAAAGTTCCTCTTGCGTGGGTTGCTTGCTTCCCGTTGTACCTCCTCCCCCCCATCACCCCAACCTCCCTGTCTCAATCTCTCCTTCCTCGTCTCCTTCTCACACTCTGTCTGTGACCTCTCGCTTCAACTCTCTCATTCACAGACCCCCCCACCGTCAGACGCAGAAACCGTGCGCGAAGCAGGTGAGCAACGCGGACTCACAGAGGAAGACTTTCGCTGCACCAACACACGCGTACATGCCTATGTGCACACACACACACACACACACATACCTTGAGTTTGGTTTCCAAACAAGATGTGCCTTGTAAATGTGTATTTAATACAGAGTTGATTTAAACATTTGGCTCCCCCAACGTTTGCCTCATGCTCCCCCTTTCATGCCTGCGTCCTGCCCGGCGGAGGAAACCTGCAGTAACGATGCCGGTTAAAGTCCCTCGTTAATGGTCTAATAAAAAAGGGGAAAGCAACAGATGCACGAAAGCCTGTACCTGCTCCCACTGCGCCGCTCTCGTGGAATAGGAAGGTAGCAATTGACACGCGTAATTTGTAAATCCCGTCCGTGGGGGAGTTTTTTCCACAAAAAAATTCTCCCCCTTGGAGGGGAGAAATAGGGGGGGGGGGGGGGGGTCGAGGGGAGCGTTCCCTCTCATGCATGCATTTGAAAGAGGATGGCGGCACTTTGACACTGATGACTTACAGTGAGAAAGAGAGAGTCGTGGACGTCACTTTATTGCTCAATGATTGCAGCCCCCTCCTGTGTCTCCCAACCCCCCCCGAACTATTAACACACTCACTTGCTCTCTGACGTAGGTTGAAGTGAGGGGGGAAGCTGGGAGGGGGTGGGGGGGAAGGGGGAGGTAGTGGATGGCAAGTTAGGGTACGGTTACCATGACGATTCCCCAGATAGGATACCCAGCCAGGAGAACTGGAGAGAATAAATGGGGGAGAGAATGAGTCGGGGACAGAATGAGTTAGGGGGCCAGAGTGACGTAGTAGAGAGGAAGAAGAGGAGGATGTGGAGGGGGTGCTTGGTAAACTTGAAAGTTTCTTGTTATAGGAGAGTAAATATTAACAGTAAAAGGTCAGACCTTTGATTTTCCCTTTGAACGCAATCTTTGTGTTTGTTTACTCAGGGCTGCTGGAATTCCCTGGAGGAAATGAGGGCACAACATAAAAAACGATTAATTTATTACTACTTCTTCTCCCTTTTACCATCGGCGCAGCGTCACATCCGACATATGCACTGTTTACACATGACGCTCTGAAGTAAGCACAACATGGGAGTTTAACCCTAAAATCCACAAGACCACTTTATCACCCACCTGGACATGGAAATGAACCCACGGCTGCAAGCGTCTGCTGGAAAGCCCGCTTGATCAGATTGAGCTGATTTGGTGTTTGTTCCCATAATCAGACGACACAAGCGTCACACCAAAGTACACAGTGGAGAAAAATTCCCCAATATAAAAAAAAAATCCATTAATAATCAAGCGCTTCCTTGTCAGATAAATCCGCTATAAAGAATTAAATACACTCGGGCAAACCGATGAATCGAGCGACTGTGTAAATTAACAGCCGGGGGGCGAAAAGGTGAGCGAGTGAGTGTGAGGCATTCAAATGATTTGAAGGCTGCGTAATAATGTGTGAATACAGGAAACCTAGTGTAAAGCATGACCGAATTTGAGTGAAGCTTGTGTGAGTAAAGTTTGCCTGGCCGGCCGTGTCACAGGTTCCCCTTCCTCTCTGATGCCTTTGAGCTGGTAGTCTGAGTGTCTCACTCTGTTTCTGCTCCTATGGTGGTTTACACAGATTGGTGATGTAATGGGTAGCATATGAAGGCCACACACAAACACGCAGACGTCGCACACACAAACACCGATGCTCATGCACGTTATACAGACACCGCACCACCGCATGCCCATAATTACGCACATGTACTGTACGCACACCCGTTCACACAAAGCCCGGATTCCCCCTTTTTCCGACAGGCCTGCGCACCAGTGTGCGTCCGCGCTCTCTCTCACACACACACACACACACACACAAACACAAAAGTCTAAACAAAGATACGTGACCTTCTTTTTTCGTCCCGAGCGCTGACATCCACATATACGTCCACGCGCCCGCAAGACGCACGCGCTCAAAGGGCGCCCGGGTGCCCCGGCGTCGCGGCGTGCGAGTGCCGGCAGACGACAGAAGGCCGCGGGGCCTCGGAGCCACCCAGGAGACCCCCATCACGAGAGGGAAAGGGGGGGGGGGGGAGAGTGACTAACATCACTTTTTCTTTTCTTCTTTCCCCAGCTGTGTCTTCAAACGGCCCTTTGATGTGGGGGAATTAAAAAGAGCGAGTGTGTCAATATCTCCCTACGTCCGACCTCACTCGTTTATTTCCTCTCCCGCCTTCTCTTGCTTTTCTTCTCCACCGTTGACCCGAGAAAACAGAGCATGGCCCCCTTTTTCACCACAACAACTCCGCCACCCACTCGCTGCCACCGGGCCCTGGGCCCCGGGACCGTGTTTGTTTCCCTGTGTAGGCCCGTCACTGGACTGGCAGCTGTGTGTGTGTGTGTGTGTGTGTGTGTGTGTATGAGTGTGCGACTGCGCACACAAGGCCCACCACTAATTATTTTCTAACCACACATGAGTGTATGTCTGCGAATGAGGGTCTCCTAATCTCACACCCAGACTCAAAAGTGCTTTCTTCCTTTCCAGTGGTCTCTCTATCACTCTCTCTTTCCCTCCGTGTGTGTGTGTGTGTATTCTCCGTGTGGAAGAAGTGGACCTTGTCGTCACACGTCGTCGCGTGGGCTACCGTTTTGTTCATTCTCGAGTTTGGGATTGCGCACGCCGACATCTTGGTTTTTTGTTGTTGCCGTCTTGTTTTTTGGTAACGAGAGTTGGCGAGAGGGAGGAGCCGCAGTACGTAGAACCTCACCCTTAAACAAGACATGGCAAAATGTTACAGTGACCTTTCATGAACTGAAAAGTGTTAATGTTCAAAGACAAAATCACACACAACTCCCAGACCAGAAAACATTACATTACTTTAAATGAGTGCGTCATTTACTAAATGGACATTCTGCTGTATGTAAGGAGGCGTAACAAGTGATTTGGACTGCTAACTCATGTTAACGGTTTACCGAGGGGATAAATTAAGTGAGAAGCAGGGTTTGTTTCTTAATGACTTTTAATCAGATTTATTTTTGCAAGCAGGAGAGTTGCCCCCTGCTGGCTGTGAGGAAGAAGGCAGGTTTAAGGACGACCACGACTGGTATGTTGTCAGTTTTCTATCCAAATGTAGAGTACATTTTCAAAAGAATCTGCATTACAAACTGCATGTGCATGTTTCCATCCTCTACTGTAGGAGCAATATAGGGGTTGGATTATTGAGACAAGCGGTACTACGTGCTGATTCTCAGATGTCAGGTGCCAAAGTACTGCTGAAGAAGAGGGTGCAACAAAATGACACAATTTTGGAAATCAAGCTTAACATGGCGGCGGGGGGGAATTGGAAAATATGAGCATTTACTGATTAATTTGATGAAGGTTACATTAAAGAGGTCAATCCACAGTGATCTAATGCTATCTGCTGCCATATCCCCCCCTTTCATCCAAAGCCTGGTGTTTTTACTGAGGGGTGGACAGGCATGCATTGACGTCCTTTGGATTTACTGTATATCTACAGTACGATGCATCAACTGTCCCCCTGGAAACTCTTTTTTTCGTTGCCCATTGTGACTGTAAGCCACACTTTACTGCACCTGACGGAGTGTTTCCAGGCTGCCCCACTCTGCTTTTGTGTGTGTGTGTGTGTGTGTGTGTGTGTGTGTGTATGCATGTGTGTGTGTGTGCGTGAGAGAGAGAGAGAGTTTGTGAGAAATCCTGTTGAAGTGTGTACAGTAGACTGTTATGTTTTTGCAGGTTTCTTAGCCTTCAATTTCTTGTGTGTTCTGTTAATAGAGCAACATATTATATCACGACACAGCGTATGTTGCGTGGCCAAGAGCGTGTTTTGTGTATGTTGTGTTGACCCCACCTCCCACCCCTCAAGTGTGTGTGTCCGTGTTAAAGTCCTGTGATGTGTGTTTATATACATACATATATATATATATATATATATATATATATATATATTAATGTGTGTGTGTGTGTGTGTGTATCCGCTCACTGTTTCTATGCAACACTTTCATGGCCCCTTCTGGTCTGGACAACACCTCTCCTGCTCCTATCCGTCTCTCACTCCTCACTCTTTCCTTCACCCTGGAGAGGGAGAGAAGGAGTGAAAAAAAAAGAGGAGGTGGGTGGGGGGGCAGTGGAAATAACAGGCTGCTGTCTCAGGAGGGGCTCTGTAAAAGAAAAAGAGCGAGGGGTGAGAAAAGGAGGGAGAGAAATATGGGGGAGAAAAAGGTGTTTTGCCCTGTGGATTAGCTGTGATACAGGGGATGTGGCACGTGTAGCATAAAAAAAGCACCGACATGAATCAAATAACAGGTTTTCTGTGACATTTCCTCTCTGAACACTCCACAAATTACCAAAAAAGGAAGAAAAAAAAGACAGGGGGCCTAAAAGATACACACGAATACAATGGGCTTCATGGGAAGTCTGCTGTGATAAAGACCGAGAGAGATGAAGATGGAAAGAACGGAGGAGGTAGATGGGAGCGATTGGGCGCAGGTAGCGGGATGGAAGCGCGCGAGATAGCGACGGGACGGGAGAAAGTGACAGAGCAAAGAAAAGAAAAAACAGGAAAGAAAACAACGGAACATTTCTATTTTTTTTTTTAAAGTTTCGCAAAGGGAGACAGGCAGCAGGGAGGGGAGGAGGAAAGAGGGAGAGAGAGGAAGGAGAGAGAGAGAGCGCGCGTGGCTGTGTGCGTGTATGTGTGCGTGTGTGTGTGTGTGTGTGTGTGTGTGTGTGTGTGTGTGTGTGTGTGTGTGTGTGTGTGTGTGTGTGTGTGCATGTGTGTTTTTTATGAATGAAGTGAGTCACTGCGATGTGTCATAGGCCCGACGTCTTTATAAAGGAAGTTTTAAACAAGCCTAAACACTTCACTGCGCGCAAAAAATTGGACTTACCACACTCGCATCCCTCTCTGACTTCTGTTGCCTCTCTCTCTCTCTCTCTCTCTCTCTCCAAACGGTCCAAGTGTCTCTCTGCCTCCAGCGCGCCATAAAGACCACCAGGACCCATCTCAAACTTTGCCAGAGACAGAAAGTTTGACTACTTTTACTTTTTTTTTTTCTTCAAACATCTCAGAGAGGTGCAGTCATCCCTCTCCTCTCTCATTCATCCTCTCGCGTCCTGAGCGCTTTCCTCCTCACTCTGACTGAAGAGTGCGAAGAAGAAACCGGAGCACGTGACTGTTTCCGGAGTTCCATTTATTTATTATTTTTCTATTTATTTATTGGTCCACCGTTTGTTTGCTGGTTTACCTGTCGCCTGGATCCGACCAAATATGAAATGTAAGTGCTTTTCTAATATTTGTATTGTGCTCTACTTACTTTGCTACTCATATTTTATTTCTAAACGTTAATCTGATTTATCACCAGATATTTGACTGTTCAGATAGGCTTTGCCATTATTATTTACCATTTGTTATTCACATTCAATTCTAAACAATGAACTCACACAACACTTGCCAGTCGCAATGGACAACTTTGATCCCTGAACTGCAAAAGTCACACTGGGACGCGAAGATGCTCCTGCAGTGTGATTCTTGTGGTTCACCTGTAATTATGAAGCATTCATCATCTCAACCCCACTGTGGTTCCCTTTTAATACTTAGTCTACCTTGTATTTGAACTTGAAAGGAAAAAAAGAATGAATGAGCTTACTGTTAGAGAGCTGCCTCGGCTCGGTCTATATAATTTATACTACCAACTCACGTACCTATCCAGTTGCAGGTGTGACAATCAGCAGCATTCATTGCTGTTGCTTATGTTAAAGCAGCGATCAGGATATTCAGTGTCGAAGCGTTTCTAATGATTTAATGATTTGCGATCGGCCTGTGTAAACGTGACTCTGACACCGAAGCTCTTCCCTCTGGGTCCCTGTGCCCAGTCTGGAGCCTCTGTTTATATTATGGTGTGGTATCTTCCCTGGGAGCTGACAGCTGTGGCCCGCAGCCATTGTCATCATAGCGAGATGACAGCGCCTCTCCACTAATTGCTTCCGTTTTGTTCTACCCCTGCAGCGCTGCTCAGCTCCTCCCGGCTGCTCCTCTTCTCGCTGCTGCTGGCTCAGCTGCCCGTGTTCACCAATGCCTCGCCAGTACCGCAGCGGCGACAGACCGACATGGACAAACTGTCCAATCAGACCAAAAATCTGATGAAGCTCACCCAGGAACTGCTGGTAAGTGAAGACGCCATCGTGGTGTTTTGCCGGTGGAAGCTGTGGCTCGGAGGAGAGGCTAATGAGGGAATTGTTAGTTAGAGGGTGGACAGAGGATGCGCAACCCGCCTTGATTCATCTTTTCCTCGTGGGATTCGGGTGTTAGTGTCACCTTTCAGTTTGACAGCAGTAACTTTGTACTGTTCACAAGCTACATGGGTGAGCTCGGGTCCTGAGTTCGACTTAAGCTGCTTTAATTGGTGCATGCTTAGATCAGGGCAGCAAAAAGGCCTCGGGGAGATTTGAGTGATCTCACTTTTAATCCACACTGGACTTACTGTGTAAGGGGTGGAGAGGGGGGGGGGGGGCTGACTCAGCAGCCTTCTGGTTCGCCTGCTCATCTGACTGGTGGCGCTAAGCTTTATGGCCAGGAAAGTGAAGGTGACATGAGATCAATGAAGTAACAGACATTTACAATGATGACCTATTAGGACGGGTGTAACACCCGTTACATAGAAACAGGTTTGTGTTTTGCGGTTATGTGGAACTGAGGATGGAGTTGGAGGAGCTTTTTATCATTATTATTATATGCGTACCATACCGACAAACCTGGCATCACATTGGATTTTGTTGACGCTCAGAACTGAAACCACAGCTAAGATTTGGCTTCAGCTGGTGACCGACATGTATCAACAGCGTTATGAACAGGTGAAAAAAAACGCAGGGCCCTATCTGAGGATCTTCGGTTCCACATGGCTGCTCCGGGTTCTATTTTTGCATTATGTAAATCATTTAACTCTGTTCGGCGGGATAAAATCAAAAATAGCCACATACTCTCGCTTGTCTGGGCAGGTAGATATTGTTGTGTGTGTGTGTGTGTGTGTGTGTGTGTGTGTTGCTTTAGAACAATCCAGATCCAGATGATCCAGGGATCCAGATGTCAACAAGCCCACACTATCAAAGGGTAATCGGAACAGTAGAAGAGAGTGTTCAGTAACATGGAAGATTTCTTTTAATTTGTTTTTCCTTATTGTGTGGAATTCCACTAAAGAGAGCAGAGAGTTAGGAAAGAAAAATAGAGCGGGAACCCATGGAAAGTCCCTACAAACAAGCAATGACACTGAAGCGTTAAGAGAGAGAAAATAGTGTGTGTGTCCACGTATGGACTACACGGCCTATGTAGGTTATCTAACGCAACTATGTGTGCGTTTTTGTATGCATTCAGTATGTGTGCAAATGTACGTGTGTATGCATTTGTGCATGCATTTTTGTGGCTCTGTGTCTGTATGTGTGTGTTGAAGGTTCTGTAAATAGTCATGGTTATGTAGGTGCGGTGTTTAGTGTTTTCCTTTCGGTCGCCACAGCAAAGTGACCTGATAAAAATCAAAAAGATTTATCTCATTCCAGTATTTGCACCCGTGAAGAAAAATGTTGGATGCGAGGGTTCTGTTGGGTGAGGTTCTGATCTGTGAGGGAGCGAGCAAGAAAAGGAGGATAAGAGGGAGAATTAAAGGCTGAGAAAGATGGAGCAAAAACCACAAGAGATGAAGAGATCACAGAGCCAACTAGATGACAAGCCGGTGGTGTATGTGTGTGCGTGCGTGCACATATGCACGCGATTTTGTATGGGCTTGTGCACCTGGTAGGAAGTACAGAGAGGGGGAGAGTAGGGAAGAGAGGGCAGGGGGGGCAGGGGAGCGAGGGATGGAAGGGGAGAAAAGCAGCAGAGACAAAACATTGGACCACAAACATAAGCGAGAGACATGCATGCGAGACAATGTGGCACATTCATCGCTTAAAAACGTCAACACAAACAACTGGAAGCAAACAGGAGGGCACGGAAAACCATGCATAACAGGTTAAGGAAGCATTAAGTACACGCAACTTGTTTACACAAAACATTTCTCGGCCCTCATCACCCTAATATTGTTATGTTCCTCTGCTGATTGGGAATGACGCACATGACCACATCAGTCATCTCCATTTATGCCCGCTCATTACCGACCACGCATACATCTTTAATACTACTAAAAACAGCACAGCTGCTTTTGGCAAGTAGAACTCTGTGAACCTGCAGTCACAGGTTGTTTATCTCCCTCTGGCGACCACAAGCAGAACTACAGCCGCTGTCTGGTAGTCGTTTAGGGCACAACTCTAGCTGGGCAGCGGTACTGCGTCATTCGCTCTTTTTATAGCTGTGACCCTGGAGTTTCCCCACAGTTTCTGTGTTGTCTGTCCCACTTGGAGCTTTCTTAGTCATTGCATATGTTGTTATCCTCGCTCCCTTTAGAAAACATCCTGTGGGTTCGGGGTCATTTGCTCTTATTGTTGACATTTGGGGAGGCAGAATGTGGGGTGAACTCACACTGAACTCGATCAACCACACTCACCCTCAGCGAGGGCTACTGTCTCCAAGCACAGAAAACAGTCGTCCGGTGGAGGTGCCGGACTAATACTTTCCTCATGTTGCCGTGACTTGTCTTGGGGTGAATTAAATTGCGACGATGCAAATGACTAACTGGGTGCTTTGCGTCTTGTTTTCTCTTTCAGAGGGAGCATGCATTCGACGCAGATGTGGAGCCCCACCGGTTCAGATCCCTGCCGGAAATGAGCAACAGATCAGCCAATGACCTCAATAATCTTGAGGTAATGCTCTGATATTAGCATTCCGTATTTGTATGTGACTATGTCTGTGTGCGTGCGTGCTTGTGAGGGTAGAGGGCCCGTCTATGCACACTGTCCAATCTTGACACACCCATGCTAAGTCTCTAAGTGTGTCTGTGTTGTTTCCAGCTGAAGCCCACACTCTCGCAGCTGCATGCCGACTTGAAGCTGTATGAGCACCACTTTGAGTGGTTGAACAAGGTTTCAAAGAAGCACCACCACCCGGCACTGCCCAAGCTGGTGGAGATGATCAGAGAAATGAAATCACTCATCAATCTGCTGCACCGTCAGGTAAAGAGCTGGGTTTTCCTATTTGATTCCCAGGCGTCTTCAATGTTCAATTTGATGTTCATCCATAAACGTTTTAGCATGAATGCATTTATTGCTTTTCTAATCTGTCCGCCTACCATCTCTGCTACAGATGCTGAGAGTCGAAGCCCCGAAGCTGACTCAGGCAACCCCCTCCCTCCCGCCTCACCTGCCCTATCAGTTTGATGTCCTGCAGTCCAGCCACGAGCTCCTTCAACACTTCAAGCTCTTCTGTGATTGGGCGTACCGAGCGTTCATCAGCCTCAAGCCCAAATCCTCTCCAGGACAATGACGATCCAAGCCCGTTCATTCTTTTCCTCCTAACTACGCGGCGGCAGAGCCAGTGATGATACACGGAGCCGTGCCTCAGCCAAAGGGGAATTAGGACCATGTCGGTGTGCACTGTATTCGACTGCATCCCTTAAGAGGCCAAATTTAAACCAATGACGTTTGTGTTGAGAAATTAGTTTTACATCACAGCCAATACGGATGTGCAATACTGCAGCCAGTTACAACGTCAAGAGTCCTGTTAAAGCAAACTGCCAGTTTAAATACATAGATCATGTCCCAAGTCCCCGAACTGTCTCCTAAAGGCCTTGTCCATGACCTTGTCCATGTCCATGGCCTTGTCCATGACCTTGTTATTTATATATTTATTTATTTATTGACGGTTGGTAATTTATTTGATTTTATTTATTTATTTTAAGTTGTCGTGCGTCACTCAAATCTTTGTTTTTGTGTTAACGTGAATTTATTTGCCCACATTTCTGTAATCGTTCTTTTTGTCTTGTGTCTCACTGATCGACTCTCAAGAAAAACACGGCAGCACTTCCTTGCTTTTGTTCAGACGAAATCAATCTACTTCGCGTTTGTGTATTTCTTTATCCAATAATTCCTCCAGTTGAAGTAGCATAGACGACAGCCAACTCTTTCCCAATATCTCACTTACAGGGCCTGTAAATTTAGAAAATGTTAATGTTATCTCCTGACCATGTCCAAATATATTAACATATCAATTCAAAATGTCAAGTGCTTGTCGAAAGAGAAGTAAATATTCTCCTTTTGTCCAGGGGCAGAGTCTCTGTTGCGTGTTTCTCATGCGTTTGGGGTACAGTTGTATGAATATGCCCCTGCTGAGCACTGAATGGACTTGATTTAGATTCTTTTGCACAATCTTGGTCAGGATTAAGCCTCCTCAAATGAGAGAGATGGGCTAATTTTTGGACCTCGGGGCTTTAGGGTAGAAAATATTTGCATTTGGTAATGTCAACATCCTACGGGTCTTAAAAATACTATGTATTGTGACACTATGTTCTTAGTGTATACATAAGTGTAAAGGAATGCACATTGTTGCATACAGTGCTTTTGTGTATTGTATTGTTTTATTTTTAATATATAATTATTTTTAATTAATTTACCAACTTTATCACTATCCTTTTTCCTTTCTATTCTAGTATTTGTTACAGTATTTGACTATTTATTTAAGTAACTTGGTGGAACTATTTATTTCGTGCTGGAGGGGAGCAAGTCTCCTATCTTTTTGTACTTTTATACAGTGTCTTATTCCCTAATATCCAAAAATACCATCATGTTTAAATTATTGTTGTTACATCAAGATGCCTCACACTGATTGGACTCAATGTGAAATATGTGCCTTGGTGAAATAAATACTACAGAATGTGCACAATGGGTCTTGAGTTTATGTTTCTTGATGCTTCACCTGCCCTGCAATGACAGCCGTGACAGATGGAAGTACACAGGCACTACATTACCCAGAAGTCTGTGCGTATCAGACAGAATCAGAATATAACGTGTTTATAAGAAATATAATTTGGTGTAGATGCATTTACTAATAAATGTTTTCCTTCAAATCCAGGGGTGAGATTTGATTCACCCAAAGTTTAAAAACGTCGATCTGTCTGTCAAAGCTCTTAGCCAATAGTAGTAGAGTATGCACAGCGGCCGACAGCCAATCGGCGTCGCCGTTCTTGGAGGGCGGAATCGGGTGGAGGACTGCTCTTAGTTTGCGCTGTGTGTTTATTGTTAAGGTTGTGTGGATTAGCACTGCGGTACCCGGTTCCATTTCATCACAGCAACACCGCAGCGCCGGGACGAGCTGAGGACGCGCGGTGAGTTCTTCTTCCGCCGCGTTCACTCGCGTCCCCGTCGAGCAGTTTAACGGCCGTATTCGGCGCAGGCGGCGGCTGGATTCGCTTTAAACTGAGGCCGGTAGCTGATGCTGTTGGTGCTGTGAAAACGGACCTATTTTTGGGGTTTATGGTGCGCGTTGTCCGCCCGCACACGCGGATGTGATTTAGTGTTTGCTAATAAAGTAGCTTCATGTGTAATGTAGCTGTAACCTGTGTGTGTGTGTGTGTGTGTTTTGCTAGCTCGCACCGCACTGCGGGGACGGACAGAAACCGACTGACTGCCAGAGGAAAAGCAGCAGGGGGGAGAGAAGGAGCGAGGGAGAGAGAGAGAGAGCGAGGGGGGGGCAAGGTTCACTGACAGGAGGAGGAAGAGAAGGGGATTTTAAAAGGGGGACCTTACTCCACCCTGAGAGTTACCAAACTTTACACAACTTTAATTCCCAATACCACCTGAATGTCAGACGGTTTCCTTAGCTAGTCACGGTTTGGTAGGGACTGCTGGGTGTCTCCGCTGGGGAAAAAGAAACTGATGAAGAAGACACAGAAGGGGAACGTAGAGTTGGACAGAAGAAGCATGACAGCGCACCAGAACTGACCGCCGAAGGAACTCCCTCGCGATGGCCAACTCGTTGGCCCTGGCGGTCCAAGCGGAACTCCTACCGCCTCCGCCCAACCCCTCCCTCTCTCCTTTCCCATCCCTCCTTGGTCCGGGAGAGGACGTCGGGGACGAGAGGGACAGCGGGGGGCTGGTGGAGGGAGACAAAGGCGTAGTGGAGGGTGGGGATGTGGAGGTGGTCCTGGACATGGTGACGTCGTCGGTGTCCGGCCAACCGCAGCAGCCCGAGCAGTCGGACCATCCCTTCCAGTGTATGGACTGCGGGAAGAGCTTCAGGTGGTCGTCCAGGCTGACCCACCACCAGCGGAGCCACAACAACGAGAGACCGTACCGCTGCAACCTCTGCCCCAAGGCCTTCAAGGGCTCTTCTGCTCTCCTCTACCACCAACGGTACCCGTCGTTCAAGGCGAGAGGGTGGAGCACGTAAAACACAAAACCCATACCTTCCTTTTTAACTGAAAGCGTCCCTTGCGTTTCTTTCCGCAGGTCTCACTCGGGGGACAAGCCTTACGAGTGTCAGGAGTGTGGCAAGGCCTTCAAACGCTCCTCTCTGCTCCAGGTGAGGTGTTGAACAAAAGCTTTTCATAACCAAATGAAACCAAATGGTTTCAAATGAGCACCATATCCAGCGCCTGTATCTCCGTCTTGTCTCCAGGTCCATCAGAGTGTCCACACTGGAGTGCGTAACTTCTTGTGTCCCTATTGTCCTCTGACCTTTAAATGGAGCTCTCATTACCAGTATCACCTGCGCCAGCATACTGGCGAGTGCCCTTACCCCTGTGACAGCTGCCCAAAGGCCTTCAAGAACTCCAGCAGTCTGCGGCGGCACAAGAACGTCCACCTTGGCCTCAAGCCTTACACCTGCACGGTGTGCAACAAGTCCTTCACCCAGTCGACCAACCTGAGGCAGCACATGAGGATACATACAGGTGAGAGGCCCTACATCTGCACGGAGTGTGGGGCGGAGCTTCACACATTCATCGAACCTGGCCCTGCACAAGAACTCGCACGCCAACCCCAACGCTGGGGGGAAGGAGGGGAGGAAGGGAGACGAGGCGGTGGAGGTGGTGGTCGGGCCGGAGGAAGTGACGTCGGCCATGTTGACGGACATGGTGGGGTTTGTGAGCCAGGAGGGAACTGATCGAGTCGGGGTGGGGATGGAGGAAGTGTTCTTGTCAACCACCCCGTCCGGACAGAACGCAAGCCTCCTCACCCTCGCCTCCCCTGGGGAGGGCGCGTGTGCCTCTAGGGCCATCGGGACGGAGGTTCACCTGAGCACCCACACGGGGGCCAGTTTGCTGCTGTACAGCTGTGGCAGCTGCTGCAACACCTTTGGCACGCGGACAGATCTCGAGGACCACCAGGTCATTCACATGGCCCCTGAGGGACAAGGGGCCGAAGGAGAAGAAGGGCCTGGACCAGGGATGGAAGTCGGGGATGGGCTGGTGGGAGCCGGTCACCTGCTGGCTGATTTTGAGGAGGTGGTGGAGACGACGACGGTGTCGGAAAATGGACACACGACGGAGGTGCTCCTTGGTCTGTCGGAGGGAGCGGATGGCATTAATGCAGTAAGTGATCAAAATGAAAAGAAATACTAAAGCTTCCACAAAAGAGAGGGAAGTGACCCGTAGCCCGGTTGCCGCCGTCCACATCTCAGATTTGGCTTGTTTTTCTCAGCTAAGGAAAAAGTTAATTTTCCTAAATCTATGCTACCAGCATTCATGGAGAATACAGACAGAAAATTAAAAAATCTGCATATTCCTTTGATCAAGAGGCTCTTAGCAACTGCCACTAATACGGCTTCTGTGTTAACTTAAAATTAAACGTTCTGGTTTTAGAGACGTCCGTAAACAAAATAGCAATTCAGACCGATCCGGTCGTATCTGGTCAATCTTAAAAACCCTCACCCATTCTTCAAAGTGCTTGAGTCTGATCTGAAGGGATTTTATTTATATGTACGAGTTCCTTTGGTCTGTCCTCAGAATGTGGGATCCGCCCATGCCCAGTTTGACCTGCTGCAGAGCTTCACCGAGGTGACTCAGAGCGCTGAGAGCGTTCAGCCCGAGGCCAGAACCACATGGGCAGGGCTGTCATGTGGCTTCTGCAATAAGTCCTTCAAGACCAGCGGAGGCCTCAATAGACATGTGTCACTGGTGAGAATGGACCTCATAATTGTTCTTCCACTCACACGTGTATGCAAATTACTGCACTGTTTAGCACATTTTTTTTGCATTTCGATGCATCTGAGAATAACGTTGGCCTCCCGTTTGTTTGTCCAGATGCACTCTCTCTCATCACAGTCCCGCTCCCAGTTCAGCTGCTCGGCCTGCGACCGCTCCTTCCCCCTTCTCTCGTCGCTCCTCACCCACCAACACTCCCACACGCCGGAGCAGCGCCTCCTGGCCGAGGCGGAGGCTGAGATAGTGTGCCCTGCCTCCCTCTCCCTCTCCCTCCCCCTCCCCTCCTCTCCCAGCCAGGCCGACAAGCAGCAGGAAGGCCAGAGTGAGATCCACATCAACGTCATTGCCGTGAGGGAGGAGCAGGAGGAGCAACCAGCCAAACCGACCAAAGCCCCCAAAAAGACAGCGGCCAGCAAGAGCGCGCTCACTGGAGGTAAAGCCATGGAGATTTAACCACCCAATAGAGACTATGAGCAAAGCAATGTGTTTTGGTTTCATATGCTCTCTCTCCCTGCAAGGCCAATTATCTCCCCACTAATCTGGCCAAGCAACAATAACAATAACAAAAAGGTTATTTGACACCAGCCAGGGAACTTGACTTTACCCCCTTTTTTTAATAAAACAATGTAATGCTTAACAAATCATAATCTGGATACTTGCTTCAATGGCTGCTAGTTGATTAATGGATCACGTTAAGTATAATTAACTAAATCTTTCACGCACTTTGACACAGAGAGGCCGTACCGCTGCTCGGAGTGCGGAAAAGCCTTCAAAGGTTCGTCTGGGCTGAAGTACCACATGAGGGATCACACTGGGGAGAGGCCCTACCGCTGCACCGAGTGTGGAAAGAGCTTCAAGAGGTCGTCTCTGCTTTCCATCCATCAGAGGGTAGGGCTTCTGTCCCATGAAAACAAAATAGGCCAAGTTTGATCATTTACGCCACCTCGGAAATGAGGATTTCTGAAGTTAACCGCTGTCTAGTACATTTCACACCCCAGCAAGGCTATAGACAAGTACAAAAAGAACACAATAAACACTATCTAGGATCAAGCAGGTTTTAGCGATTTCTAAAGGTGGTCACTAACAACTTATCCACTCCCACATTACCAGGTACACACAGGTGTTCGGGCCTTCCAGTGCCCTCACTGCCCTCTCACTTTCAAATGGAGCTCTCACTATCAGTACCACTTGCGGCAGCACACGGGCGAGAGGGCGGTACGTGTGCAAGGAGTGTGGCAAGTCCTTCAAGAACACCAGCTGCCTGCGCAGACACAGCCAGATGCACTCGGGACTGCGTCCTCATACCTGCTCCATCTGCTCAAAGTCCTTCTCCCAGACATCGAACCTCAAACAGGTCAGCACTGTCTGCACATTCTGCTACGAGCTTGTAATTCTTCTTGGCTTAAGGTATGGATTTGTATTTGAAATTTGTTTGATCCAATTAACTGATGTGATTTCCCTTCTTCTTTTTCCGTTATTTCTTTGTGAGCAGCATGAACGCACACATTCTGGTGAGAGACCCTTCCAGTGCACACACTGCAATAAAAGCTTTACACACTCGTCCAACCTGCAGCTCCACCTTCGCACACACTCCTCAAGCAAGGACTTCAAATGCCCGTACTGCTCTAAGGAGTTTGTCATGCACTCCTACTTGCAGAGGCACATCCGTACCCACGGCAGTGGCGTTCCACTGCCATGCTCTGTTGGTGGAGGTAAAGACGGAGTGGCCGTGAAAGCCAGTGTTGGGGGAGTAACAACCACCACGACCCTGCTCAACCCGATCACCTTGGAAACCTCAGGAAACCACGGCAGCCTGATTGTGTCCCAGCCAGCACTTAATATTCCCCCCAACAGCTCCCAGAACTACTTTATGATTCAGACAGCCAGCGGCCTGCAGCTTATTCCTCTGACGTCCCCTCCACCCGCTCCTCCGCCTCCACCACCTCCGCCGCTGTCCCAAACCCAAAACTTCTTCCTTTTGCAGTGTCCCTCCAATGATGGCAGCCAGTCCAGCTTGATCCTTGTCCCCACAGCCAACAACCCTCCGCCAGCTGCGGAGCCTCAGACCCTCCCTGTGCTTCAGACTATCCAAGCACTCCAGCCCGTCCTAAACCAAACACCGACTCCGATGTCCCACTTTCCCGCCATATCACAGCAGCCACAGCAGACCAGGTTCATAATCACCAACCATAATAATAACAACAATGCAAACACTCCTGTTGTCATGTCACCACGCGCTCTCTCGGCCAACCCTCTGCTGACTAGGCCCATATTGGGGAAAAGCACGCGGACCGCTCGGGGCAGACGGGGTCGCAAACCGAAAGCCCGCCTTCAGATGTCTGCGGCCGCTGCGGTCAGCCAGACGGCATGTGAAGGTGCGTCGGTAACGGACTGCAACGTGACCGCTGTCTCGCAGACTACTGCTGTATCGGCTCCCGCCGCGTCGCACTGCACCCTGTCAGCACCTCGCACCGCCGTCCCCGTTCTTTCATCTTCCACCACTGGAGCCCCGGATATGGACACCTCAGGACCAACATCAAACGTTCCCATGGTTACACCAGCCACGACAGCATCGCCAGCCTCCACTCCGGCCCCTCCCGCTGTGGAACCCCACGCCACAGTGGGGCGAATAGGGACAGGGGATACCATGACGGGGAACCAGTTTGTGTTTTGTTTTGATAACGAAGGACAGGCAAAGGGGGGGATGACTGTGGAGGAGGGTGGGCAGTCATACGTGTTGCAGTTCGAGGGGGATGCTTCCGAAGAGGCAGGGGATGGAGGAGTGGGCGGGGAGGGGGAATCGCTCGTATTGCAGTTCAAGACAGATGATCATGGGGAAGGAGCAAAAATAGGGGGTAAGGGAGGGATGATGTCACTCCTGCGTGAATGGCATGGAGAGAAGCAGAGAGAGATGGAAGAGGAGGGAGGCCAGGGAGAGTCTTATGTCCTCCATTTCCACACAGAGGCACAGGACAGCGGCCCATCCAGCAATGCCTTCAACCAAGGCCAAGAACACAGCCTGCAGCTTTCCTGCACTCCCACCCAAGGCTTGGTGCCACTTGATGGGCAGGAGGTGGTATTTGAACTGGGGGGTGAGACCAAGATGGAGCAGGGAGCAGAGGAGGGTATGCAGATGATCGCCCTGATAGAAGGCGAAGGCGGGATGATGGGAGAAGAAGGGGCCGGTGGCAATTCTGCAGTGGGCGAGTGGGGGAGGTGAGGAGCATGAAGGCATATTTCAGCTGGGAAATGGAGAGGAAATTGTCATAATTGAGGTCAGCACCAGTAGTTTAAGAGAAGGAAGAATGGAGAGAGGAAGGGACGGAGAGATTTCCCAAAGTAGTGAGGTGAAATACGAAAGTCTTACAGTCGAGGCAAATGAAAAGACTTTAAAGGAACAGAGCGCTGCAGCCAACACAGAGGCGCCACAGTCGCCGACTGAAGACACGATAACGAATGGACCTTTACCCAACTCTAAAGAGATGCAGTTCTGAGAGAAGGTGCGAGTGAATGCATCACTATTTGTGAGCTCCGCGTGTTAGCACTTTAGTTGGAGTTCTCCTGGAGCTGAGGGAGAACCTGCAGTTAGATGAGTACTGTATTGTAATCCCATGGGGCCACATAGTAGAAATGTTATACATTCAAATGGACCTCGGAATATTCTTAAATATATTAGTTTAATTGATACTGTCACTTAAGTAAATATGTTTTTTGTGAATAAATGTTGTACATGACCCACTTTCTTTACATTGTCAACAGTAAATAGCAGTTTAATTATTAATAAATCTGTCAATACCTTTTTATTGTTGGTTTTCGTCTCTTTTTTTGTCTTGTTTTCAAAACGCACAGAGGTCATTTACGCTCTCACGTCGCGGCAGCCGCCTACGTCGCCTTTACGCACTGCGCGGCGAGCGTACGCAAACGGCGCAGGTCGACACGTTTAAAACGTGTAACGGGACCGCAAACCGACTACGCGTGCATCCAGAATCTCCCCTCGGCTCCGGCAACGAGCCTCGTGCGTACGCCCAATGAGACGCGCGAGGACTCCACGACCACACGGAGGGGGATACACGCACGGTGTCGTCCCCGTCTCTCAGTGCTATTTGAGCGGCGTGGCGCAGAAGGTAAGCGGGGCCGCGGCGGCGGGTGTCTCCGTGTCCGCGGCGCGCGGCCGCCACATACGGAGTGACGTGTGGCGGCTGTATCTGTGGGATCAACTGGTTTGGAATGAACTGGTTTACGATCGCAGATGAGTGGCCTTCCAGGGAGCCGTGGTGACCGAATAGTAAACGAACTATGAACGGGTGCTTTTCGAAACCCCGCGTTGTCGTACGGCTTCTCTTTGTGTCACGTCGGTATTAATCCGACGTGTGTATGCATTCAAACTGGGATCCGCTCAGAATAACTTGTGTTACAACATTGGACGCGATCTCACAGCATTACGAGGATAAAAGTATCCCTCTTCATTATATATATATTTTATATTCAAAAACAGGACCTGCAGACACCACTGATCATGTCCGACCTCTCTGATTAAGTGTTTTCTGACCTACTTCTTAGATAGAGAGTTTCTGAACACACTATTCATGCAACGTTGACCCAGAATCCGTTATATATGTGATTTTAGTACCTAAACGTCACAAATATTGCATTTTGCCAACAAACTTCTGTCCCTGTGGCACTCGTAATGTGTGTTTTTGCAGGAATTCTGTACACGGTTGGTGGATGTGTCCAATCGTTAGTGCACCCGTCCCGCTGTCAGAGCTCAGAGCCCAAACATGGTGAAGGTGCAGCTGGACCAGGTGGCGATGAGGAGGATGAAGGAGGACGACATAGAGATGGTCAAAGCCCTCATCAAGGTTGGTTGCAGGTTTTAGACGGCGCTCGTGGGGGTGGTGGGCATTCACTGGCGCTAATTTGTTTTTAACTTGCGTCTCTCCAGGAGGGCTGCGAGGGCACAGAAAACCGTCTTATCCTCCACGTCCTCACTCGCCCGCTCTGCCTCTTCATCCTGGCTGTTTTCTCCTCGATGCTGCGCTGCCTCGTGCATTCCTTCGTCCTGACGCTCGCTATTCCTGTCTTCCTGCTAATTGTTTTTCTCAAAATCACCATGCCGCGGTCCACAGGGGTTCTGGGCAGCGTGCGGCCCTACTGGGACTACGTGGGCAGCAGCTACCGAGGGACAGTGGACGAGACACTGCCGAATCCTTTCAGCGGGATCACTAGCAAGACACCCGGGCCGAGAAAGGTTTGTCTACCCCGTGTCAACAGCGTTTTTGGTGTAGTTTGTGCGGCCACCTAACGTTGCGGAGCCAATAATCATTCTTCCGTTGCTCAGCCGAGGCGCAGAATCGCACCCAAAGACAAGGGCGCCGATTTGCAGGCAGAAAACGTCACCCCGGAGCGGGAGCAGGAGGCAGGGCAGATCTGGGTGGCGGAGTGCGATGGCGAGATCCTGGGCTGCATCTTCAGGGAAAGCGAGAAGCGGGCGGACGTGACGAGGATCTGCAGGTTGGTGACGGGCTGCTGGTACCGCAGGGAGGGTCTGGGCCGGCTGCTGGTCCAGGGCCTGGAGCAGAGGGAGCGGGAGGCCGGCGCACGCAGAGTGTACGCTCACGTCCCTTACCCGTCCAAACTGGGGGAGGCCTTCTTCAGGAAGGTGGGCTATCAGCAGTTTGGGGAGGGGGCCGATGGAAAGGAAGACGGTGACGAAGAAGAGGAGGAGGAGAGAAAGCTTGAGCCTCCAGAGAGAGGCTTTCTGGGATACCCCCTCACTAAAGTGTTCTACAAAGACCTGTGATGGAGGGGTGATGGACTCGTGGAGAGGAAGTCATTGGAATGGCTGGAGGTGAAGAAGCCATAGGAAAAGTTTTCACTGCTGCCGCCTGTGTGGATATTTGTTTAAGCTTATTGTTTATTTTCATATTTTGTGTTATTTAAGTATTTATTTCCCGTATTTGTTGCTTTTCTGTTAGTTTGAACTGTATTTTTACCGTTTTTCGTCCAATAATCTCTGTACTTTTGACACAAATGGTTGTTATTTAAAGATGTAATAATAACACCCAAAGCCACAATCATGCTGTTCTCTCATCCTTTATAATGAAATATTTATGTAAAATGTGTGTTTCCTTTTGTGTGTTTTTTTTTCTCAAAGGCTCCTACACAGTAAAGGATGTGTGTGATTGCACACATTTGTTTGTGTGAAAGGATACAGATGTGTAGGAGGAAGTGTGGTTTTGGTGAATATGCAGAATTCTTCTGCTTTCATCTTCAGTTGCTCCTTCGCTGCGTCCCGTATGTTGTGAGTCCGCTAGAAACCCTGCTTGTTCTTTCATTTGAGTTGTCTTTGTTGTTTGTATGAAAAACAGAATGTTTTCTGTAGTTGTTAAATAAATGATTTAGGGTCGAACTTCATAACTTTGCGTTTTTAACTACTCACATTATGGTATTTTAGGGCTTCATTCTGGGATGTGGAAACATCATTAAATTAACCAGTTCAATAGAAATATAGATTCATTATAGTGAAAGTAACTCAACAAAAATGTATCAAAATTGCACAAGTTTGAATCTACATAGGTGTTTCCAAACTAATTTGTATCGCATAGATTGAAGCTGTGCATTCCATACAGTACAGGTAATCTGATGCAAGAATGTGTGTGGTTTGCAGGTGACTGGCAGCTTATGTGACTAAGCGGGGAAATGCACACAGCCCCAGTCTGAGGCTAACCTTAATATGGTCCCCAGCTCTCACACTCACATCCCGCATCTACTTCCTACAAACCTTCAGCCGATGTCTGTATGGCATCAATGTGCCGCAGATAAACACCACGGGATGTTTGTACAGTTCTAATGCGTGTGAAAAGGAGGCCGTATCTCACCTGATGTGCAGACGTACACGTTCGCCGCAAACCCCAATCATGCAAGCTGGGGTGGAAAAGCACCGTCCTTTAATAAACTTTGGTGAAAAAGCTGAGACACCCAGTAACATAACAGTGTTACATGCACGAGGAAGCGTGTGGTCGGGTCATTTCACCTTGTAAAAAGCTGTACTTTACTTGTGCCAGTTCTTTGGTCATCATCGGGTTGTTTCTTGATGACTGTCAAAGACCAGACACCTGTGAGCTGGGCCTCTGTGCCCGCCTAATCTGCAGCTATTATTGTTGTCAGGAAACAGATGTGAGTTCACGCACTGGAAAGAAAGTCTGTTTGCGACTGTGGTCAAGTGCGTCTGCACGGTACGGCTGTGTGCAAGTGTTTGTGTGCGTGTGCAGGGTGTGTGTGTGTGTGGGCGGGTGGGTTTCGGAAAGTATGACTTGGCGTTTCCTACACCCGGTTTCTGCCCCTGACTATGGGTGATGTGCACAGCCGTGTCTGGCTGTACTGTACTACTACTACACCACACACACACATCGGCGAGGTGGCGGTGCACGTGAGAGTTCATGTGTGTGACTGTGAGGTGACCTTGGTCAACTGTGGTGAAGCGGGTGGGAAGTGGTTACATATAATTTGGCATTTGATCGGCCTCTTGAAGTCGAGAAAGAGACGTGCACTCGAGATCAAATGTGCACAGACGTCAGGCGTAACGCAGCGTCAGAGTAATGCAATATGATGGGAGGTTGCTCAGAGGCTCGCAGTTGGGGCACCACATACGATGAATTAGATAAATTAGTTCCAGATGATGCATAAGATATAGACTGAGTTAATAACATTCTCATACAGATGGCTAACACACACACACACGCACACACACACACAGAGGAGCTCCAAAAACAGCCACCCTGGGAAACGGTGAATTCCCCAAACCGCAGAGTGCATGAGAGGGTGAGGGGAGTCATGGGAAAGCAGGATGCCTGCATGCAGTGCCACCGAGCCAGCAGACTGGGCCAGAGCTGAAACAGACGGAGCAAAGAAACGACGGCAGCAAAAGAATGCACATCCTCATTTGGCGAGAGCGAGATGACAGCATCTGACGGTTCAAAGGCTCACGAGTGGGATTTATCCAAAAAGTGTTCCAGCACACACGTCGGGTGAAGGAGGTCGATCGCGGTTCTGCTGCCGGGCCTGACACAGTTTGGGAAACCCCATATGAGAGGACGCAGGAGGTGTCGGGGGCCTTCGGGGTCAGGAGACGCCTATGGCTCCGCCAAAGGGAGTGGAGGAGGAGGAGGAGGGGGTGGGGGGGGATTAGTTAGGTAGAAAGGCTGAATAGCAGGACGGGACTGTGGATCAAGGTGAGAGGGTCTCTGGAGTTCTTATCTGATGATCTGGGGAAAATGAAGGTGGAGGGGCCACGTTTGGAACGTTCCAGCCGGTTGGCTCAGGTTACAGACGCCTGTGAAAACCTCCACAGGTTACAAATCACGTCAAATAAATAAAATGTCTTCATGGCCATGTCAAAAACAAGATGTCATGAAGTAGAGGAATTGAAATCTTTATTTATAGCTTTGATTGTTTTGTCGCGAAACGATCCATCTCTTTTGTGTCACGCCCCCTGAACTTTCTTTAAAATATCTGTCTGTCCAACCAGAAGCTGCCTCTGTGTTTTATGTTTGGAGGTAAATGTTCTCGGTTCCCTTCCTATAACCCCCCAGCACACACACACACACACACACACACACACACTTGAATCTTTGTCATTTACCTCCATTGCTCGGCCGAGCAAAGCGCGCCTTTCGAAATGATTGCAAAGCTTGACAGGTGAGAAAAATTGATTCATTCATGTTTTCTTTGAAATTGAATTCTTTTCCCATAACTGTGGTACTATATGACCTTTGAGTGATATCAATTGAGGTTTCAGTATTAACGAATTGTCCTAGTTTCGCTAAAAGTTGCGAAACCGAGAGGGAAGAAAAAAAGCAGTGAATGTTGGTCGTCTTTTGACGTCGTCTCACTTATGGTTAACCTCAGGTTTCACATGAGTTCATTGTGCTAACGTATTAGGATTCAAACTGCAATTCATGAGTCATCTGACAAACACAAAAGATTTCTCAGACTTTCTTAGAATTATATTTTAAAACAATATTTTTTACAACAACAACCCTTTTTGCGAATGGCATTATTCGGAAATGTTGACTGGTGAAATCAGTGTTTGTGAATGGGGACTTTGAATATTCTCCAGGTATATGCTGCCCTAATAGCATGAGCATCCTTCTCTCCCTTTGTCCCAGTGTGCTTCTGCCCCGAAAAAAGTTCATCTACCACTACACGAACATGCGCTGGGCGAGGGGCCGACACGAGACTTACCTCTGCTTTGTTGTGAAAAGGCGAGTGGGGCCGGATTCCTTGTCCTTCGACTTTGGACACCTGCGCAATCGCAGTGGCTGCCATGTCGAGGTCAGTCACGTGGGTCAAGATGTGAGAAACGGCCTGATCGGGCGAGTGACAAGTGAAAGCAGCGAATAATAGAGCCTCCTTGTTCTCCTCGTGTCTTCGCAGTTGTTGTTCCTGCGCCACCTCGGAGCCTTGTGCCCTGGTTTCTTGGGTTGTGGAGACACCGGAGGGAGGAGGCTGAGTTACTCCATCACCTGGTTCTGCTCGTGGTCTCCCTGCGTAAACTGCTCCATCAGTCTGTCCCAGTTCCTCAGCCGGACGCCCAACCTCCGCCTCAGGATCTTCGTCTCTCGCCTTTACTTTTGTGACATGGAGAACAGTCGGGAAAGAGACGGCCTGAGAATGCTGAAAAAAGCTGGCGTGCAGGTCACAGTCATGAGTTACAAAGGTGGAGGCACTAACTGGTCTATATGTGGTGGAGATTTAAAGAGAGAAGATGTGTAATTCTAGAGCCAGAAACTACTGGATAGTTGAGCAAACCAAATTCCACCTAAAAGGAATTGTTTATTGCTTCTCTGGATGTCAACAATTTGATTATACGTAACTTGTCCTTCTCTCATCAGATTTCTTCTATTGCTGGCAGACTTTTGTAGATCGCAAACAAAGCCAGTTCAAGGCCTGGAAAGAGCTTCACCAAAACTCTGTTCGCCTTTCCAGAAAGCTCAAGCGCATCCTCCAGGTACAAGGTTTACCACATTACGTGCTTTTTTCAATCAACGGATCAATTTGATTTGTGTTTTCTTTCTTTTAGCCTTGTGAAACAGAAGATTTAAGGGATGCCTTCAAGCTGCTTGGACTGTGAAAAGTACCTCTGACCTCCTCTGGTGTTAGCATTACGTCTTTTGTTAAGTAGAAAGTAGAACAAAAAAACATGCTGGCATTGGTCCATCACCACAAGGGCTAAAACTGAGAATGATACGAACTGAGACAAAGTAGATTAGGTTGTGGCAAGGCTTGTGTGTCAGCTGCTGCTTGCTTATTCTGTTGCATTACAGATGTATGAAATAAAACAATAAGATAATTATTGTGTTTTGTGCCTTTGATGTAAAAACATGTATTTGAGTTTGGCAATTTTGTCGTTCACCATCTTATTTCTTAAGCTAAGTGCAATCAAACATGTTTGGGGATCAAATTAGATGCAATTAACTGAAAACCGGTGTCATTACTGAGAAGAAAAGCGGACAAAAACAACATGGCAGAAACCAGTGAATCCCCAAAGTGACCATCATGCTTTTAATATGTTTTCCGAGGGAGAAGCACGGTCATTTTCTCATAGACATCTATTCTGAATGCGAGTCTAAGGCCAGATATTACTGCCTGGTTCAAAACGACGCAGCAGAGGTTTTGTACTCTTTAGCACTTTACACCATCCAACACTTTCGTTACCTTATGTGACTGTCAGGAAGATGCTTTAAAACACCCCCAGCTTGTGATAGACGTTGTGTTACAGTCTCACGGGCTCAATTGTGCGGCCACCGTGTGCGCAAAATCGACGGGGCGCCCTTTTATTTAAAGGCCTCGGCGAGAGGCGCGGGTCGACGGCGCCTGCGCGCGCACACAGTGTAATACGGTCACGCAGCCGTTAACGCCGCGCCGCACGCGGACGCGCCACTATACGCCGTCACCACCACCACCGCCCGCCGGCGCACACGACCGAGTAAGAAGTCAAGATGGCGACCGAGGGTCAGTCCGAGTACGAGTCGGTCCTCTGTGTCAAACCCGAGGTCAGCGTTTACCGGATCCCGCCGAGAGCATCCAACCGGGCCATCAGGTGAGTGCGAGAGGGGGGAGGGGAATATGTGTGTGTGTGTGTGTGTGTGTTTGTGTGTGTGTGTGGGGGGGGATCCGCATCCACGAGCCGCTCAAAGCCGTTGCCTCGCACCACAGTACCAACCGAGCGCATCCCCTAATCTCGCATCAACAGCGGGGGGGGGGTGTTTGTCTTTGCTGTGTATTTACAAGGTCATCGTGGTGAAAACGTGAGGAGCGGTTGTTTTATACACCTGCGCCGCGTTAGCGACCCGACGATGTGTCCGCGCGCGTGCGGCCGCCCGACGGCCCCGGAGGATGAACACCGCTTACGGCCGCTTAGACGGGGCTCCGCGGCTGCTACCAGCCCGGCAAAGCCACCTTTATGTTGTATCTTTAATGCCGTGGGCGGTACCCGTGTTATGCAGAGCAGTGTCCCCGGCAGCCGTGGAGACATCTTGCTCAAGGACACTTCAGTAGGGCGACGCTGAAACGATGACGAGGGGCTCTAACGCGGTTGATCGGACTGTCCAATCAGACATCGTGTGTATGCTCGTGAGCGGCCATGCAAGGACAGCTGCCGTGTTGTTAACAATAACAACAACAAAAAGGTTGACGTCGGCTTGTTTATCCTACGTTACATTGGCCGTGCCGCAGCTGCATTGGAGTGGACAGAACTAAACAGTTGCCCAATCCTGAATCCTCTGGGACACATGCTTGGTGAACCAGTGAGCATATGTACAGTGAGTAAGGGTGATGATGTAATGTGTCGGCCTAAGTCACGTACATACAGAATAACCCAAATCCACCTAATGTGTGTCCAAGAGTCGGACGAATCATGACAGACAGGTGCACCCAAATGTCTTGGTTATTCTCTCCCCCTGTCGAGCTCCGTCACCTCTTCACCCACATCGCGTCAGCATCTCCCTGACTTCTGTGTGTGTGTGTTTGTGTGCCAGGGCTGCCGATTGGAAGCTGGATGCTCCTGACTGGACGGGACGCATGCGTGTGACGGCCCGGGGAAAAGCAGCCTTTGTGAAATTGGAAGACAAAATCTCTGGTGAGGGGGAAGAAGACCGAACACGTCATTGTTTACCGGGCGCGTCACTGTTGTAAATCATTTCAACGTGTTCGACATCCCCTTCTCTGTTACTCATCTATTCCAAGGGGACCCAGCCCACGTCCGAGCATGCAGTTTTATTTTCAAGCAAACAGGCCGATAATCGCTTTCTGTCTGTGAAAGCAGACTTTTTGTCCTCGCATTAAACTTCATATGGTCCCACTGTGTTTAATTTAATCTCAATCTTTTCCGTTTAAAAACACGAGCAAAACATTTGATTTCTGTTCTTCTGTGGTTTTATTGAGTTTTGGCATCATGTCAAATATGTGTTTTCTTTTTTTTTTTTTTTTTTTTGTCTCTCTTGTCTCCGCTGGACCATTTTGCCAAAACAACAATGCGCATATTTCTTCTGTTGCAACCTACAGGGGAGCTGTTTGCCCAAGCCCCAGTGGAAGAGTACCCCGGCATCACAGTGGAAACAGTTAGTGACTCAAGCCGTTACTTTGTGCTCCGCATCCAGGATGACAACGGTGGGTAAACCCTCTGTTGCTCAGCTAGAACCATTGTAGCTTAGAGAGTGTTGTGATGAATTCTCAGGTTTAGTGTGTGTGTGTGTGTGTGTGTGTGTGCTTTTTTGTTCATAATACCCTGCACATCCCCTACCGATCTCGACCCTCCGTCGGTTCTTCTCACAGGCCGCAGCGCGTTCATAGGCATCGGGTTCGGAGACCGAGGCGATGCCTTTGACTTCAACGTTGCTCTCCAGGACCACTTCAAGTATGCGGCTGCTTCATAGTTGGTCATGAATCATGAGCAACGTAGTCCTGGATTTGTTTATTGTAGGTTACTAAAGGAGCTTGTGATCACCTCTCCAGGTGGGTGAAACAGGAAGATGAGTTCAAGAAGCAGGCGCAGACCCCAGACACCACCCCTAAACTGGACCTGGGCTTCAAAGAAGGACAAACTATCACTCTCAATATCGGGGTAACCTTATTTTCGATTGTTGTATCGCTGGAATTTCAGTGCCACTTGTTCACAGTTTAACAGTAGAACCTTCCTTCTCTTTCGTCTTGACCTGAAATGTTTTTAATCTCATGCACATACTCACCCTGATTTTGTACCTATCGCAGCAATCAAAAAAGAGGGACAGGTCTCGCCCGCAGAGTTCGGGTGGATTCGGGCTTCTTCCACCTCCTCCTGGGGGCAAGTTAGCCCCGCCTCCTTCATCCAGATCTACTAATCATAACACCGAGCCATCTGCGGGAGGAAGTGACACGGGTAAGTAACTAATAAAAGCACTGGAGTGTGGAGAGGCGGTGAGATCATACGGCCTGCGTCAGGACAAGATGATGACCAACGCAACATGTAAACATGTGGACTGCACCTAAACACAGAACTGGGCAGTTTCATACCGCAGCAATGCGTTTGCAAAAAAACAAATTAATCTTAACATTCCGACGGATTTGTTAGTAACTCAAATTTAAGTGGATGATGACTAATTGTTGTTCCTGCTCAGCCTGCTTTAGTTCAGTGTGTGTGTTCCATCATTTCAGCAAGAAAATAATCAGAACTGGTAGAATAAGTAAGAAATAGTTAGTTAGTTTGGTAAGATATTACCAAAACAAGCTGTGATTTTTTTGCCCTACAGCTCACCAACAAAATTCAGCCAGTCTCACTCCTTGCTCCTCATTTTTCTTTTGAGAAATATTTCATTAATTTATTGATTGACAACTCGGGACAATCATCGTTAAGGGGAGGAGGACCTACTTACCTCGACTTTACCACCACTGACTTGGTGTTTGTGTATTTGGTTGTCGGACTGCGATAGTCTATTTATTTAAAATTGTATCTCTTGTTACATATATGATTATTTGTATGTTTTCTAACTTTTTTTCCATTGAGCTTGTAATGGTTTTACCATTTAAAAAAAGTTTCTAGGAAATGATTTGGGCGTTTTTTATATTGTTAGTCAGGTTTTAAAAGGCGATTGAGCTTGAAACTGATCTGGATACAGTGTTTTGCCGTTTCTCAGCTTATGACTTTGATATCTTAATTTTAAATTGTTCATAGTGAGCGCCCAAATAAAAATAATCCCATTTGCCTCCTTTGTGTATGATGATGGGATGGCCAGAGTCTCAGAGGTCTGACCTCAGCATATTATATTCACACTAGGATATATTTACTTGTCTCACCTTTTTAAGCAAAACATCAGTTGCAGACTTCATGCTGGGAATTACTCATAAGATTAAACAAACCATCAAATCAGACATCTATATTTCTGTTACTATTTCAGAGATTCACCATGTTTCTGTTCTGTTCTTTAACCACCAGGTTTTCTGCTAGATCTGGATGCCAGTAACTCAAACTCGGCCGACTGGGAGGCGTCAAACCCGGCCACCGCAGCCAGCTCCGACCTGTGGGGAGACTTTGACTCTGTATCCTCGAAGTGAGAAGGGGGTACTCTCTGTTTTCCTCCCTCTCATATCTCTCTGTAAAGGTATGCAGCACTTTTGGCATTTTGTTTCCCCGTTACGGGGTCCCGTTTCTCTCCCTGCCAAGCAGGGTAAACCCCTGGAGTAGTTTGTTCTATTTTAGTTCAGACCCTCATGGCTTTTGGTCTGAGCCCGAGATATACCCGACCCTCAGTCTTAATTTAGGCCGCCACGCTCTCCACCCCCAATCCGTCTGTATACCATCATTTTTGTTTCCATTTTCCGGTTTGAATACGGAATTTGTCCATTTCATCTCTTCTTGTCAATATTTTGTTTGCCAATTTGTATCGTACAGTATACATAATAAAAATACAAGCAAGGGAGACATAGTCTGAACCATCTGATGGTAACATCTAATAAATATGATAGTGAATGAGTTTACTGTACAGATAATATTTATTTTAAGTGTATATTTTGTCAGTAGTTTGAAATCATTGGTGTTGTCACCTGTGTTCTGCAGCTTATTCTATCTCCAAGTCCCGAGCATTGGGACTGACTATATGCACTGACTAACTGTCTACTCCGTCTTTGTAGTTAGTGATGCATAAAGTCGACATTTAACGCCGGGACTATTTAAATAGACTCCCACTGCTGCTCAAAAGTTTGGAGTCGACTATCGTTTTTCTTCTCTCATTCTGCAGATGTTCATAGAAAATAACACACACTTGTACAGACGTCACTCTCAAACCTATAAGCATGAATTTAACTGTAACAAACAAGTATTTTTCGACAGCCAAGCTCAAAGCGTCGAATAGCAGTGCAGGCGTAAAGAGTTTACTACACAAGGATTTTACTTGAAAGAAGCTGATTTACAGATTAGCTGAGCTCTCTGGCGCTTCCCAGTGGCTCTACAGCATCATTTTGAGGGGAGATATTGAATTGAGCTGCAGCTGTTGGAAGCATTTTTCACTGGGGACGGGTTTTCACTTTAAAGCATTACAAAAATACCCGAAAGTAGGAATGTTTGATGCAATGGATGTGCGCGAAACTAAGCGAGGCATCAAGCGCTTTGCCTCGAGGGGAAACGGAAGATTTAGTCCTTGTTTTTTCATCTGTGCTCAGCCCAGCTGTTAAAGCTGCGACTGGTGAGTCATATAGGTCACGACCTCTCTCCTCCTCACTGAATAGGTCTGTGTTTGTGCACCGCCCCGTCTGTCTGGGGAGAGCTTCATCTCCTTAATCCCTTGATAAGAAGGTGGTCAGGTCGGAGATCTCAAACACAGCATGTTTTACTGTACAAAAATGTCCTTACTGCTATTCCGATGTAGACGAATGCAACGTGGGACCAAGCTAGCCTGTTTGACGCTGTGTTTATTTGTGATTATATCCACGTACGGAGAGATGGATTAAGTTGCAGTGATAGCCCATGTTATGTGATGATGATGATGCTGATGCTGATGGATATCGATTGGAACACACATAGATTGTGTGAGTTTAAAGCTCTAAACAATATTTGTTAGTTGTTTGTTCACTGTTTAAATTATATGCATCTCTCCCAAATGTGACTTGTTATTCAAACTGTACATGTGTATGTAAATGTATATGCAAAGAAAAACATAAAGATATCACTCAGTGACCATAACTTTAATTTGTTGTTTTTTCTCCTGAACGAACAGAGCAAAAAATAACAAAACAATAAAGAAATAACCCCTAATCAAATGTAGTTGTGTATTTTTGTGTACATTAGATCCCATGTTTGTTGTCTGAGTACACACATGACTCAGTGCTGCCTACGGCGCGTTACTACAGTACCTTAAATGGGCTTTAAACCGTGGAGGATGTGATGTGTTTCCAAAAACACAGAAATTAAAAGAGTTCAATATTCACACCCATAGAAAAGATACATAAACATGTGAAAGGAAACGAGCCCCCCGGGTGTCGAGTGGTGGATTTACAGCGTTACGGGCCGTTTTTATGACGACGTCCCGGGTTTGTGTGTCTTTGAGAGGCTCCGTCCTCACAGGTGGTCACGTGGCCTTCCCCATCAGGCCGCGTTTGCCCAGGTTTTGGGGTTTCCCCGGTGATTGCGACAGCGTTTCTTATTAGAAGACCTCTCAATCCGCCTGGGCCACCCTGACCGCTCTCTGCACAGTTCGGCTGTAATGTGAAAACAACCGGTCATTTCTGTAAATTCTCGAACACGCTTCTTTTTAACTCGCAGAGTGTTTTACCTTTCAGGTACTCGTCCTGCTGGCACACCGTCCTTACACAGATCTCGTTGTTGATCACGTAGACACGAGAAAGGCTGCATCAGAAACAGGAGATCAGATTGTAGTAAGCGAGCTGTAGTAATTGAGGTGAACCCCCCTCTAATAATCTTTTTTGCTTAAGATGCTAATATGCTGGGACATAAAGGTGCTGTTTAAACTTTATTTTCTTTGTCACTACTTTTACTTTAGTAAAGGTTCTGAGTTATTTTTCCACTTCTGTTGTCCACACTGCTTCATGTGTGTTTAGGAAACAGTCATGGATGCAAGAACACGACTGCTAAGTAATTCTGCAGCCGAGCTAAACTGCTAAATTGGAGCTGGCGGTTCGTAGAAAGGTAGCAGACCACCTGTAGAGGCAAAGAGCACCAATACATCTCTTGATGGGCCGGTGAACCGAGTACATCCTGGTGCAAGGGTACGTCTCCTCCCTGCAGCCTGCAGAGAGAGGAAGGACAAGGCGTATTTCAATTGGATCAAGGTCATGGGGCCTCCTGTGAGGCTCAATTCAGAGTTTGTGTCCAATCTGCTGTCACTCACTGGCTGGTGAGGCGCCTCCAGCTGCAGCATTGCTAACTAGAGAAAACAAGGAGACAAAACAAGATCAGATTGGCCAAATACCAGTGACCCATTGCAATGACTCGGACGGACGTCGATCTAAAAGTGGGACTCATGAGGAGAAGAGCATTACCGTTCGACTGGTTTTGGGCTACAGCTGTGAGCGCTGTGGAACAGAAACCACATGAGGGGAGTGTTTCTCAGCATTAAAAACAATCACACGGCGACTCAACCGTAAATGAAACGACATGATTTGCGTGTCCTGTTTGGCAGCGTTACCGTGGAGACCACAGAGGAGCAGGACCACCGGAAAGCCGCCCATTCCTTCAGCTTGTAAGAGTTTGAGCTTTACGAGGCTGGAGGAAACCGAAAAAGGAAAAGAGTCGGGATGTTTTCACAGAGTGGAACTGTTCCTCCCTCAAGATTTTGTTGCTGTTTATGTTTCCTTTAATTTCATTGCCTATAAATGCTCCCAGGACACTGTGACCTTTGCCCTAAGGTTTTGCTCCAACTAAAAACGCAGAGGGTAGAACTGTGTTTTGGACAAGTTGCCATCGTTTTAAAGGAGTGCCTGATGTAATTCTGCTGTGGAATAATCTGTTGAACAGTTTGTTTCTGTAGACTGTTGGACTGCTTGTAAAGTGCTTTTTAAAGTAGCAGAGGAGTTTTGAATGACACTTTAACAACATTTTGCCCTCTGTGTTTTTCTCCCCACCTTTACTCCTCCACTCGCTCTTTCTCCTTCCCTCTCCCGCCCTGCATCATTCCTCTAGTGATGTGTCAGTGTGATTATGGAGTCCAAGAGGTGAGTTCTCTCAAAAGAATGTGGGTTTTTTTTGTGCCCCTATTTAAGCGCCCCTCTGCCCCGCCTCTGATGCATTTGCACATTTCTTTGCAGCTTTCTTTTCATAGAACGTACTGGTGCTTTCCAACGGTACGATCATCACAAAGCACCTCTCAGCATTCCCCATTTTTACCCAAGTTCTGCGTTTCCCTGCTGGTAATAATATATAATTCTAGTCACACGCTTGCAATTACGCAATTGAAAACTCTCCGTGCATCCCTCTGTGGATTTGTTTGTGAGAATGTTCACTGCTTTTACTTACTGAACCCTGCATGCAACCACGAACCGTGTGACAATGCACTAGATTCTGAACTGAGTTCTCTTTTACATCTTGATTTTTACATTTTGTAAATAGGAAATATCCTGCATGTGCTGATGTGTATTTCCTACAGTATGAGAGGAAAATCGGTAGAAAGAAGCATAAATAACTCATACTCACAATTATTGCTGTCGTCCACGGGTGCTTTAGTTTTATGAATGCTTTGTCTTCTCTTCTTTCCCCTCTTTCCCTCTACTCCTTCCTCCTCTTTCCTCTTTCCTCTTTCCTCCTCCTCCTCCTCGTCCTCCCCCGTCCTACAAACCGTCACCATTTTTTTGTTTTTTACTTTTTTGTCCTGCCCCAATATGGTGAAAACAAAATATAGCATGCAGCTATCTAATGGGTATTTCCTTTTTAGTTCACACACACTCCTTTATATTGATGTTCTTGAGTAGATCTTATTTTATTAGACAGATATACATACCCACAGTACACAATATTTATTTAACATTGTCTCACTGTCCAATATAACGGTCAAAGATTTGCTCCGAATGTTTTACCTGCAACCTGCTTGGATTTGTTTGGAGAAAATTAAATAATGAAGCAATTGAAAGAAACAAATGCACCCGAGGCATCTGAACTGTCTTTTTGCATTACTTAGTTAAACCAGCAGGCCGAGCAGTGCACATACGGTAGAATATGGTGTTTGGACTAGACCAGTGGTTCTCAAACTGTGGGGCGCGGAGGTATTGTTATTATTTAAATTTTAAATTTTAAATTTAAATTATTATTTTATTTATAATCCTTTATTAATCCCACATAGGGAAATTATTCTCTGCATTTTACCGATCCTTAAGAGCAGCAGTGTGCTGCTGTGAAGCGCTGATGTATCGAACCACACCGTAAAACATCACAAGCCTGTTTAGTTATGTCCACTTGCTTCTTCTGTTTAACTCAAAGACTTCTGACAAGTTTTAGATTTGAACAAGTTAGTTAAACTTGCAGTAATGCTTTGTGTTGACTTCTTTGAAATGGGTTCGTGTTAATTGAACTTGGCTTTTTAAGTTATCAGTTTAAAAAAAAGAGAAAGACAAAGGCTGGAGTGGGGGGTTTAAAAATTAAACAGTAAGACTCTTTATTGCCAAATATTTTTCACAGGTTGAACTTTAGTCTTATTATCCTGAAAAGATATTCAGTACAAAACATGTTAATTAGGCTATTACAATAAGCTATTTTTGACAAATATTTGTTCTTTTTTTGCACAACTTAATTTGCATTGTTACAACAACGTGATTTTTTCTTTATTCTATTATTAATGAGCTGTTTTAAGGGCGACTGTAGGTGAGTGTGGAGCACGGCCGTCCTCCAATCAGAGGGTTGGCGGTTCGATCCCAGGCCCGGCTAACACGCATGTTGACGTGTCCTTGGGCAAGACACTTAACCCAACGATGCTCCTGTAGCTGCGACAGTGTGTGAATGTTAGTTACTGATGGGCAGGTGGCTCTGTGTGTGGTAGCTCCTGTCATTGGTGTGTGAAAGGGCGAACGATGTCATGTAGTGTTAAAGAGCTCTACCATAACAAAATTATTTTAATTATTATTATTTCAGTTATTTCAATACAAATTCAGCATGGACATTTTTGTTGGGGCATTGCGGCCCGAACATTTTTCTTCCCCCAAAGTGGGGGCCCGACAGAAAAAGTTTGAGAACCACTGGACTATATATACAGTCGTATGCATCAGTCAAAAAGATCCAAACGCGAAATATATATCTGAAAGTGAAAATATAAGTTTTGAATCTGAAAATATAAAATCTGCAACCGAAAAATATAATATGAGTGAATATCAAAAAATATATATAAGTGAAGATTGAAAAACAATATTTTATTCAAAAAAAATATAGAGCTGAGTCAAAACTAAATTCATCCCGAAAATATTTTTTGTCCACTTTTGTCCACCATTTTTATTTTAAATACATTGTTGTATTTTTCAATTTTCAACAACAAAACCTAAACTTTCACATTTGTTTTTCAAATGAACAAAACCTTTGACCTGGATTTGGCTCCATACGGCAGTCCCATGTTTTAAATACATTGCATCCATATATGACTTCATATTCTCCATGGCAACCAGTTTGTTTAAGGTTTCCATTTAGACAAACAAGTGATATATACTTGAGGAGAAGGTGAAAGTGAAGATCAAGGATGTGGTTCCTTTCCATCTCTCTTTGTGTTGAAAAGAGGCTTTTCATTGGGCCTCTTATAGCTGCATTGGAAGGGAAACACGACTCTGCATCCACGACTAATATACATTCCGTGGAAGTCACAACTCTCACTGGCTCTCGCCTTACGGTAGGCCATGTCAGTTCGAGGGGGAGACACTCGTGGTCCCCTTGACATGTTGGGGCTACGCGGACTGCAGGGTAAGTTCCCTTGTGGAGGGAGGGAGGGGGGCCCTAACAAGGTCGACTGGGCGAGGCCGATGACAGCTTGACAGATGGAGACTGTGTAAGCGTAAGAGAGGAGGAGAGGTGCCAAGAGGGAGGATCAGTCTGTGGAACACATCAAACTGTCCCTCTTCCCTTCGCGCTGCTCGGGTTGTCGGAGATCTAACGTGAATAGTTAAGGAAAACATGCCGGATAGTAAACACATGATAATCTTTAGACTTGTTTATTAGTAGGAGGGCATTTCAAGAGGCATGCCAGCTCTGCAATACTCACACCGCCGTCCTTCTTTTCACCCCAACACTCCTCCCTCACCCTTCTCCTCTCTCGCTGTCGTGCCGGTAGCTGCACCGCTCCGATTCCCATGATTGACAACGACCACACACACACACACACACAGACAAACTGCAGCAAGTGCACTCTCCTGTTAATACCTGAGGATTCTCGGTAAATGCCAACCCATAACCTGCTACCAACTACATCCAGTGTTGCTCATCACTGCTTCTCACTCTGCTGAAGTGACGACGTGAGGCCGACTCCGTAATCCGTCACTTTCGATCCTGTTTAATCCGTCCATCGATCCATTTAGGGTTGCTGCACCTCAACAAGCTGTCAGGTGACGGAGGTGTAGGAGGTGAACCAGGGCGCGATGACCCAAGTGTCCTGCATCACTGCGGGGATCCATTTCAGACGTTCAGCCATAAGAACTCTTTATTTGCTGCTCACTGCCCATTAATCTGGCTCTTATATCGGTGTCTGTTTTGGCAGATACTACTCTCAGGACAAATATCTGTTACTAACAGCCTTTTCCAGCTGCTGGTCTCAGCATCCTTCATCCATACCTCCTTTTTTAATCTTTGTTGCATAAGAAAGAAACATATATGTTAAATAACTCAAAACTCTCCTTTAAAGACATACGCAGAGAAGCTCACTTTATATCAAATAAAGAATATTCATTTTGAAGATAATATATAGGCAGTGAATGTGACACCATGCCTTCACGGAGTGTGATCTTTGTGCCAAAGTGAACTTCATCCGATACCGCTAGTGTGAAACCTGAAGTTCGCTGACATTGCAAATCTAAATCTATCCACCTGCCACATTTGTGAGTTTGTTTTTCATCTTCCCAAATGTCAAATAGTCTGTGGTTACTTTGTAAGACAAACATGAAAAATGAACCCTCTGACATGGCGGTTGGGTTCTGGTGGGGACTTCCCTGTATAGCTGTCCTTGTTTCTCCCGTTTTCATCATCCCTGCAATCCGTCCTCATGGACCTCCGGCAGATTCACACCTCGACCAGCATCTTTTTGTCGGCACCCTATTGTCTCTGTGGTCGGCAGCATGTGTTTCCATTCGTCAGGCTGTGGTCACACATGAGCCGAGTGTCCTCTTGTTTCCTGGTAACCAGTGCATCGCAGAGAGCGGTTGCCAGAGGAGTTAGCGTCAATGTAAGCATGCTCTACTTCGGGTGACAGCTGAAGAAGCTGTCCTCGGTTGGGAGTGGATGAAAGACATCAGACATCTGTCACACCGGGACCAAGTAGATGTGAAGGAGCGTGGATGAAACGGAAAGGCCTAGGTGGAGAAATACGTGAGGAGAAGTAATCAGCAAGAGGGGTCAGGGATAAACAGAGGGACGAGACGAGGCAGGACGGGTCACGGTGTTCCATCAGATTGTGCCGTTAAAGGCCTGCAAGCGCCAATGGCAGCCTGACGTTTACATACGTAGGTCTGTGAAGTGCAGATAGTCAGAGGGAGGTGATGATGTGCATGGTGTGTAAATAGATGGCTCGGAGATCTATTTTTAAATCCATCTGGAGTGGCCCTTGGCAGGGGTTAGCACAGGCCCTACTGACATAAACGCACAACCACATTGCACATTAGCAGCTTGCTTCCAACAGGGATACACTCCAATTTGAAACTGAGACATTGTGTACTCTAATTTGAAATGCAAGTTCATTTTCTATGCTGCATTTCACCGTTACTCATTGCAGTGGTAGTAAGTACAGCTACCTCTATTGGGAACTATATTGTATTTTCTTGCTGCCAGGTTCTTTGCATCTCCAGTGCTAGCCAGTTACTAACCAATAGCATAATTCAGTGGTGGGAGACGTGTGCAAAGTGCCTATAAGTCTGGCACTGCATTAGGATTGTATGACAGGTGTAGGACAACAAGACAATCAATCATGTATCCCAGTACAGCGCAGTGATGTTCTATGATAAAGGTACATTTTTCCTCGTAAATTTCTTCTTCGATGTTTGTTGTACTTACTATTGATGTTTTATTTTTTCTGAATTGTTACCAAACAGCCAGACAGATTCCTTGCATGTGAAAACCTACATGGCAGTAAGCCTGTTCCTGACCTCTGATACTGGTGTCTTGTGTTGATTTTGTAGGTAGTACTATGTCCTGGTTACGCGTCACACGAACTTGGAAGAAGATCAAGCTGGAATCGGCTTGTATTGTTCAGTCCAATTTTAGATGTGCTTCGTCTGCAGCACCTGTTGCTTCACCACATCGAACATGTTCTTCTTTCCATACGAACACTTTCGAGAGTTTCTTTAAGGTTTCATGAGTTGTCAATGATAATTTGTTTTCATTGTTTACAAAAGTGTTTTAAATGGTGTTGCCTGGTTTATAATTGACATTATTGTATTACTAAATTATTATTATCGTTACATTGTAACATAGTTATTCATAAGGTTTGCTGAGTTTATTTTACTTGCATCAGAAACCTGACAGGGAAAAGAGCGTAATATCATTCATATAACCTACAGCTTCATCTCTTTAAAACAGTTAACTTATTTGTTCACTTGCACTAATCATATACAATGTTATATAATTGTGTATAAACCATGACGTATTCCTTTAAAATACTATACATCTTAATTGTGTAATATCAAACATATCTAGAATTATACGCAATCCATATACGGATTGTACCTTGTACAACACTATGTGTAACTCATGAACTGATTCTCATGAGAAATTAAATATAAGTAGTTTATTTTATGACAATGGCAATACAGATAATAAAAGGCACTGCTATACATCTTTTAGATTCAAACAATTCTTGCATTTTGTATTCATTATAAACCTACATATTCACATATATACACAGCACAATACACAATAACAATAAAAGGGGTATTTTTGATAAGGATATTAACACAAACAGTAGCGCTGGCCAACGGTTACAATTTTTAATCCTGATTAATCGCATGATTTTCTGTAATTAATGTGGTAAACCACATTCTTATTTGCAAGATTCAACAATGAGTTCAAAAGTAGTGTATTGCGCACTTTTATTTTTTATGTACTGCTATATATTGTTGTGTTCAAAAATGAAGAAACGCCGGACGGACAGAGGTCATCGCTGATCGAAAGGTTCAAATCAAATGTATTTAATCAAGGAGATGGTGTTGCGGTAAAAAGAACATCTCAGCTGAGGAGCCGCTGGTCTCAGCGACCAACAGGCCCCAGGTCAGTCCTTTGACCATCCCTAGTGCCCGTCTGTCGCCTCCACCAGCGAACTCGAGAACAATGGTTGCTACAGGTATTTATAACAATGCTTAAAGGTGTGAAAGTCAGTGTCCACACCTCTGGGAGTGGTCTTCTGGTGAGTTCAATGTAGCTCGGATTTTGGATGATCCTTAGTCAATATCAGTTGTTGTTCAAATATTACATGCATGCATTCCAGTTGATTACATTACATCAAATACAATCATAACTGTACATTGGTATTATTCTATTACAGTTGCACATTTACAGTGGTTTTACAATATTGTCATTACTTTATTGATTACACAGTTTCAGAATCATGGCTGTATTCTGGTGTACACTATATGCATTTTTATTAATTTTATGAACCGAATCGTCAATTTGTTTCTAATATCCTACAATATTAACAAAAGTGAAAAAACCTAACCACAAATAAGGTGCTTTTTAACAGCAGCATTCCCTTTTTACAGCAGCGATTCTAATATTTCTCGTCTCAACTTAAACATCAATGTAATCAAATGAAATATCAAACTCGAGCTATTTGCCACTGCCAGGGCATTAACTTTTTATCTAGTTTGCTGTAGAAAAACAAGTTACCCTCCGAGTGCAGAGCCCCAACCATAACAGTATGACAGGCAAGTTAACATGTATGAACCTGAACAGGTAGCAGCATGAACATGTTTCTTTGATTGGGGAGCAGCATAAACTCTGATGTTCAGCAGCAGGTGTCCCTGTTAGAGGCAGGTGAAGTACACAGCTGCGATTCACTGTGTGGGGGACTTTTTAGTCTGGGCAGACGTACTGCTCTCAGACGTACCAACTCTTCCTATGGTGAATCTCAGTCCAAAAAATGGAAAAAGAAACCCGCCTTTTGTGATGCAGGTTAAAAATAACTTTCGGTTCTGTCAACTCTCCATCTGGGAGACCAATTAAAGGAAACCGTCCATGAAAGACTTCGGTACCGTTCTCCATTTCTCTGTCCCCGCCGGTTCTTTTCGTTTGGTTCAGGTGAGTGCAGCATCAGTCTTAGGCCCGCCCCCAAATGCTCTCATTTGTTGAGACGCGTGATTCTGATCAACATCAACATGAGCAACGGACTTAAAACTGCGTTAATGCTCTATAAAATTATTGTCAGAGTTAGTTAACGCGTTATGAAACATGTTAACTTGCCCGAGCGTAACCAAAAGATATGAAAATATTCCACCTTGTAGAATATATCTTTGTGCTGCATTTAAATATTTACCCATGAACAAATCTATCTCTCCCCTCTTCCTTCCCTCACCAGCTCTTCTTCTACACCTCCTCCCTCTCTTATTTTTCTGGCCTCCTTCTCTGCCTCGTCGGCCTTCCTCTTCTCCTCGATCTCGGTCTCAATCAGCCATGGCCCTCCCAGGTAGCTCAGGATCTCCTCGGGGCTCCCTCTGTGTTTGGGCTCAGGATGGAGCAGCTCCTTTAAAAGAGTCATCACCAGCGGGCTAAGGCCCTCAAACTGTGAGGGAGGAGGGTTATCCCTTTGGTTCTCCTTCATGATCGTGTAACTGTCTATTTTCTCCTCACCCCTCCACTCACCATCCTTCATCTTCTCCTCCTTTTCAGCTTCTCGGTCAAACCACTCCTTGAATCTCCGATAGCCGCGGTCGTCGTTGGTGCTCTCCTCCCAGGGGAAGCAGCTGGTTAAGAGGCAATAGACGAGCACACCGAGGGCCCAGCTGTCAATACATGGCTCCACCGTTATCCAGATGTCCTCTGTCTCCTCCTCGGCCCCATCCCACTCCTTCTCCCTCTGAGCAACCTTGACAGGTTCCACCTCGGGAGTGCAAAAGGGAGACTCGTACCAGACGGCACGAACAGTGGAGCCGATGGCCCGGGAGAGGCCAAAGTCCCCCAGTTTGACCCAACGACAGGAACTGTCACACAGGAAGATGTTCTCCGGTTTGATGTCGCGGTGGACGAAGCCCAGGGAGTGGAGATGTGTGACGGCACCGCTAAGCTGGGACGCCAGCCTCTGGACGCACTCTTCGTCCACGCCGACCTGAAGGAGACAGATGGTACGGGTAAGTCGCATCGTAGGATCATTTAGTCGGATATATACGTAGGGATTGCAATCCAACCTTAACTGACCTCTGACACAATTACGCTGTAGAGGTCACCATATAGACCGGCTTGCTGGGCAAAGACGTAGTAGGACGGCGTGGAAAAGAAGATGCCAATGGCCCTTGTCAGAGAAGGATGGGTGCAGTAGGAAAGTGAGAGATTGTATTCACGCAGGAAAGAGGTGAGCGAGGTGGACTGACGAGGGAAGAACTTCAGAGCCATCGGGGTTCCTGAAGGGGACGAAGCGAAACAGCATATGTCGAGCGTTAATTAAAGCTTATAATCAGCTTTGGTCAAAAAGCTGTCACCGGTCATGGTATGTGAATGTTTTCCATCATTGACACTGTGAACAAATATATCTTCCCCTTTGGGGGGACTGTGTTACAGAGCTAAGCCACAGGTGCAGCAACTCCATCTCAGAGAACGTCCCAAAGCGTTTCATTACAGCAACAGAAGTGCAAAAGCAAACACTATGAAAAGACAGATCCCTCCTCGAGTTACCCCACATGACATTTGTAGTCTAAAGAAACTTGAGGATAATGTGCTGCATTGGAGATTTAACATTGCACCCATTTCAGATTTGGCAGTAGAAGTTTAAAGGCATAATAACAAAATCCTTTCGTTTGATATGTTAGCATTGGGAACATTTCTACGACCACTATTTTGAAGGCTGACTAATATGAGATGGGCTGGACCTTTGAACTTGAATTTTGCACCAACCTCTCTTTCTGTGTACAGCTAACATGACCTTTCCGTAGGAACCCTCTCCCAGGAGCTTCACCACCTGGAAGTGATCGGATACCTTCAGATTGGGCATGGACTGCGCCGACAGAAAACATCGCTCGTCGAGTTCCTGAGCTGCTGCAGCCTGAACACACACACACACACAAGTCCATATTCATATTCATGATACTGATACTTATTGGTTCAGGGACGCCAATCAGAAAGAACATCCAGTGCTGGACACAATTGGTTCCGGAATCGGTCACCTGAACCGAACTGCAAATGTCCAACTTGCTTACGTACTCTTAATACCGTAAGAGTTAAATATCCATCCACATGCCCTCCCAGCAGGGATTAGTGGAGCTTTTATAATGTTATGTTATCACTTTCTGCAAATCTGGCATGATCTCCATTGTCCAATAGGCGGGATGGACTTCAGACGTCATCAACGTCGGTCTTATCGGGGCGATCAGAACATTTGGTGCTGTCAATCAGTTTCCACCATCATTCACATTCACGATGACTTTCTTTGAAGTACAGTAGATCCCCCACCACATGCCCGAGCAAATTAGGAAGGCCGTGAACAGTTAAAGTTCGACACAAACAATAAAACAATAATACATTTTTACTTTGGACCTTGTTACGTAACTGAGCTTGGTGGTCAAACTATATTCATTTTGATTAAATTGCCCCTTATTCTCTGAAAGCAAATGTAACATTTTTGGTGATTATTGCAGTAATATCAATGAGTTCTTCAGATTTAGATTGAGACATGTTTGATAATGAACGCTTTCCAACCCACAATAAATCTTTGATGGTGATAACAGATGAAATTGTGTCCGATGACTCATATTTATTTTGAGTTATTTGATGACAGCAGCTTCAAAACTGGATCTCAGTTGTGATTTACTGCTCGACAAACAAATAGATCTGATGTACAGCCAAAAATAAGACTGCAGGTCTGAAAGTCCTGCTTGGCGCAGATGTTACCAACACATCTTTATGAAGGGCCGCTTGAGGATCAATGATGTATGAATTGTAGCTCTATCTGTGCAACAGTAAGACATTGAGAGAACATGGCTTCTCTATCAGTAACCTGATGGTAAAAGAAACACATCAACACGCTTTGATACAACTGGTAACAAGGAAAAATAGAAAGATATGTTCTGTTTCGAGTTCTTTATGGTTGCATAGACAACAAAAACATAGATGCGTTGGCAGTGGAGATCTTAGATCTCAGACGTCCTCCAGAAATGCTGCTTTAAATATGCATAAAAATAATATTGTGCAGAAGTGAAACTAAAGTGATACAATATATCTTTATTGCCGTTCATCTTAAAACGCATTGTTAAATTCCTGAATTCAAATCTTAATCGGGTTTCGTTCACAGAGTTGTTAACACTTATCAGGTTATTTGATTCTTCATCAGCGCTTCATTCCACTCATGCCACAGATAAAATGGAAATAGTGTGCTGCAGTTGGGGGCTCTGATACATTAGCCCTCACAGAAGCGTCTAAAACCTTTGCTGCACCACGTGCGTCTCGATATTTGCTGTGTGCCTGTGAGCTGAGGTGATTATTAATCAAACCCTATCAGTTAATGGCCCTTAGTATAGAGCGATCTGATAATTTAAAAGGGGCTCTGCGTGAGCTAAAGCCATTAACAGTCCAATACAAGCACTCAAGATCACCAGCTGAAAATCCTCTTAACAACAGTGTCTATCAAACCGTCTCAGCCACACAGTGAATTTGCCATAAATGTCCTGCAGGTCATCTCGTCATATAGCTGCAAATACACACTTTAATGTGATATGATTTTTGTGGCACTATTTCACTAACATGTCATTTTGCAGCTGGGTTTACACTCATAGGAATAAAGTGTAATACTTACTGTCATTTTCTGATCAGTTGGTTGATATGTTTTCTTTTTCTGGACTCTTTTCGGCATCCGAGGACTTGAACTGACAATGTGCTGCCACTGCAACGTGCTGAGCGGTTCTGTGCCGAAGCTCGACTTGAATTGAAGCTGATCTTTTCCCCTTTTGCTTCGTGGGTCCTTTCAGGAGCACAGCCGCTTAATAGAGGAGGCGCATGGATGTCTGCAGGAGAGCTGGATATTGACTGTGTGCTTCTCCCTCGTGAGACGCACCAACTGGACCCCCCTCCCTCTCTTTTGCTTGCCATGTGCCAGCTCCCTCTATCTCGGCTGCTCTCCTGTTATGCAAACGAGCGTGAACTACAAGGCATTTCAATCCTCTGCCTCTCTGCTAACCCATGGCTATTCTTCCTCCTCCCTCCTCGCCTGTCACTCACTTTCTGCATATCCAAATACACCCTCCTCCTCCTCTTTCCATGTCTCCCTCTTTCTCACCCTCTCGGCCAGTGTAAGTCAAGAATTCCCCACAGAGTGTAGGATCTTTAATTTAATCAACAGGTATGCTGGAACGTTTGGAATAGGCCAAAAGGCTGCGACTGTGAGCCCTCGATGTTACCGGGATTACTGGATCGAGTTAAGCTTGGTACTTTTATCACTGTTCTTTCTTCCTCTTTTATGGCCTAACTCTGCAGGCTCATTTAATTCCCCAAATAACATCATCCATTCTTTTGAGTCTTACATACAGAGCATCTTCAATGTTTTTATGTGCATTTTTTTTTCATCTTCAGAAAACCCATCTTACTTAATCCCCTTCCAAGTGCATACTATTGCCTACAACCGCACACTGACTTAGTCAACAGCTGAATCCGTGCCTGCAAAACACCTCGGTTCCGTGTTACGTCGTCTACATGCCAGCTCTGTTTCCTACAGGCCAGCTCTAATAGCCTCGACACCCTCCTCTCCTCTTTCTGTCCACTCAGATATATTTCCCTTGGTACTACAAACTACATGACTATTCTTTCCACTTGTTCAATGGCCAATGTTTGTTATGTAACACAAACATCGGCTGCCATCACAACGGTGTGTCCCCTCTCAAGTTACCACCTCTGCCGTGGTCATGTGGCCATGTGGCCCGGGCCGTGACCAGCACGTGCTTCCATGTTTGCGGTCGCACCGCAGGGTCCGTCGGCCCCTGCAGTGACAACCTCTCCCCCCCACCAGAACTCAACTTTCACTGAAGTTGCCGCCAAGAGAGTGTAGCTTTCATTCACAAATGCAGGCCGGGAAAAATACACACACACACACACACACACACACACACATAGAGTTTAAAAGATGCACACAATCAGCTGCTATATGAACGTGGATTCAGTCTTGAAGACATGCACGAAGGCACACACTCAGGACGGCTTTGTTGACAGTTACTGTCAAGTTTCATCGCATGCGCTTTTCGCTATTTGGTTACACGGTCCTATTTTGGAGTGCTTTTACTAAAAAAGTTAGTTGTTTACGCATAGATGGGATGATCTTCTATTTCAACTCCTGCACTTTAGGTATACAGTTTGAAAATTAATATAAAAAAATCTCAGGATTGGTTTCATAAAGAACTTTATTCTAGTGTTTTTTTTCTTTTGCAATTCATCTAGAAATAGCAATGTCATGGTACAAGATCATGATTAGGTCAAACCCCCTCTCATTTATCCTCAGTGAAGGTAACATAACGTATAAAAAGCACTCATTTTAGAGACAAGGAATTGTTGTGGGTAATGTGTTGGTTAAAATGATAAAGTAAAGTTATATGAGCTCCATCTTAAACCAGATTTGACTGCTCCTTTCCCAATAGTTCATTTGGGAATCGTTCTGTTTTGCTAATATGTGCATGCAATTTTCAGCGTGAAGCAAATAATTAACCTCGCTAACATTCAACGGATGGTCTGAACGATAAGAACAACATATAGATTTACCTGGAGAATCAGATATTTGATTTGATAAATAGAAATCGAACATTGATTTTGCGTAGTTGGATGAACCATACTGTCTAAAAACTCCTCAACAGAGTAGCAGCGGTGAACAAAAGGGAAATATAAGAGACAATACAGTACAACACGTGTCAGAATAAGTTTCATGACTGCTGTTATTGCCTGCAATTTTTTTGTCTTCCTGAGATTAGTGTTTCCAAAGCAGACCAACAACACATCAGTTGAATAGTTTGTTTGAGTCATGCTGCAATAATTCCTTAAGTCCCGTCCTCGCAGAGAAGGCAAAGATGAAAGGATAAACAGTTGGAAGATAAAAGAGGAGCTTGTAACACACATGCTTCCCATCTGTCATTGTGTTGTTCTGATCTATGGGGATAAACATGTTTTATTTATAGGTCCACTTATACTTAAGTCTGGCGGACGCTGTTCTGGTTTCACTAAAATGTTAGAATTAGTCCAACAATGCCTCTATGTGGACGGCGTGTGATATTACATTACTGAGGAGAAACCACACACAGTGTCCCAACTTTTTAAAGAAGTTTAGAAAGATTGTAAGATTGAACATAAAGGTAAGATACACGTTGCTCAGTTTTGTGTGACTCAATAGCACGTGGCCTGTTGCAGATTAGTTTCGGACCACAGGGGATAATCAATCAGCCTGCATATGTGTCTCCAACACAATAACTTGTGTTTGATGAGCATGAGTGTGTAACCTGCAGCTCCATTGCCTGAATGGAAAACAGAGGTTGAATAAACAGCCCTGTGTGTTAGGAGGATTTTAAAGCTGTAAGGCTGCTCCCTCAAAGTACAGCTGTTATATAACATAGACACATTTTAAGAAGGGCCATGACGGTGGTGGCAATATTGTCTCATTTATTTTTTTGGCAGCAGTTTAGCAATATCTAAAGTTTGAATCTAAAAACTATATCAGAATTAACCTTGTGCACCTGTTAAGCCTATTAAAGGCAAGCTATTTTAATAATTTTTATCACAAATTAATAGTGAACAATGTCTTAATGAGGACAGCTTTAATTTTTATTTTTTATTTTTTTTATCAAGTTATGTAAAATATGTCAACACTCAATTATGTCTCGTCTCTGCTCTTCACGTGGGTTTACAGGCACAATCAATGTAAATCATCTACCCCCGATTGGGGGTATAAATGTCCACAATAAAATCATAATCCAAACTAACAAAACAATATACAAGAGCATAAAATAGTTTTTGATTTCCTTCCCTTACATAAAGAGGGTGGATTTTTATTAACCGAGGATTTCAGTCCAGACAACCAATCAAACGCCTTTCACTCTTTTGAAAACTTCAACAATTAACAGAACCTTGTTTGCATATCTGTTCGTTCGGCACTTTTAAATCGTGAATGTTAACACTATCATCCATTATTAATGAGTTTTCTACTACAGCAAAACAAGGCTACAGGGGGTGCGGTCTTTCCTAGAGCCGAGAACGGAAGCGGAAATTCGGCCATCTCCTCGTACAGTCAAGCTACAACAGGGTCAGTAGACACTTTAATCGGATTTTGTATTGTGTTGTGTTTCCAGTATTTCTTGACATTTTGGCTGTTGATTTAAATGTACACACCCAACATTGTCCGGAAGTAGGACATGTCCTTGTCAACGCGTGTACAGTTTAGCTGTCCTGTTGCGAACTAACAAGCGGGAGCTAGCTAGCTTACTGCTATCTTGCTATTTAGCTAATCTGTTCTATTTAGCAACAGGAGAGCAGCAAGTGATCGATTTCATCAGTAAAAACTGGCCTCAACGCACGTTTTCTAATGCTGCGATGCGATGTCGCGCCGCGAATAGTGCGTTTGATTGAACGTTAGTTGATCTGCCAATTCATATGTGACGTTAGCTAACCACCCAACATCCTCATGTACGCCTGTCCACACTTTAACCACACTTCACTGGTGTCAAAGTACTCAGTCTGAGTAGACTATAGTTCCACTGCTAACGGTACCCGGCCAACGGCACAACGCTAGACGCCTCATTGCCCCCACTAGCCGCTCGTACACCTTTTCTAACGCAGACCGATTGTCTGACAGTTGTGTAATGTCAGTGTGCGTATTGACTCTGTGTGTTTGTTTGTGTGTGTGTGTCACACCCGACGGGAGTCAACGGCTGCTGGTTAGCTTAGCTTAATGTCGGTCGAGTGGCTCCGTACTGTTGCGCTACGTCGAGCTAACGCTAACTCGGTAACGTTAGGTGTGACCGGGCACGTTAACCGTTGTTCACGTTATCTGTGCGCGCGCGCCAACAGGGTGTGGGTAACTTCTTGGTGGGGTTGTTGGTAACTGCACGCAGGGGATGGAGGGGGGGGGCTAAGTCAGCTTAGTTTCTAGTGGCAACTCGTAGCCCTGTTGCTTAGCGGTGCAAAGCTTACGTTTTACAACGCAGGTGCGTCTGTCATTTATTGTGTGCACTTTATAAGCCGGTCGTCTAGCTGGAGGCCTCCGTCAGTCCCGGTAGACGATAAAGGGATTGTGTACAGAATTGACACTTGGCGTTGGTTAATTAAACCGGTGTGAGGCGTTGTGGACGTATTCCAAACAAGCCGAGATACAAAGGGCACGTCGTGTCCTCTTTATCAAAGATTAGTTGATGTGTCTGAACTTTGATACAGAACTTCAGGAGTGTCTGAATCGGCCTTTGCAATAGTTTCCTTGAATTCAGTTATGCAACATTAACATTATAGTGTATTTGTCTGACCTGCAAATCTAAACACTGACCTGCTATAGTGTGTGACTCAAAGACACTTTAACAGCACACAGCACAGTTGTGTCTTTAGCATGTTTGCCATATTACTGGTTCATATATATTTACAACAAATGGACAAATAACCATTTTCAAATGCATAGATCCCCTAAACGGTTTTATTCTTGTTATTAAACATACTTTACGTCATAGAAAACAGTATGCAGGCGTACCAAGTTTGAGTTTATCTAAGACGATCAGATAGCTATACCCTGCAGACAAGATTAATCTTGTTCCTGTTTTTAAAATAATTTCAAACATTTATTTTGCAAAAATTCCTGTGGTTTCGGCAAAAAGATGCATCTGGTCAGCAACAATGTTTTAAGCCTCCTGTGTAAGCAATCAAATGCAAACAATGCTCAGCGAGGGATCCAATGTTGTGTCACAAAATCGTGCTGCGCATGCTTTTACACCACCAGCAGCATGCAAGTAAATGGCTACATGTTTATATTTAGCAGGCAGCAGAAATTCAAATTCAGTTTCGGTTCTGGCAAACACTATTTTAGTCATGGTGTGTCGTTGCGTTACCACGATAGAAATGTTTATCTCAGTAATTTATAATTAGTTATCTATCCGAAGTTTGAAATGTAAACTAACTAACATTATTCCTCAAAACATGCTGCTCTTGTGAATCCCTCTGCGCCTCTACAGTTATTTAGTGAAATATGAGAAACAATAGACGTATTTTACCCTTGTGTGTCTTACTGGCTCAGGATTAACTCTTATTCTTAAGTCATAAAGCCTGTTTTATTCTCTTATCTTTGAGTGGATCAGCAGCAGGTCTTGTGATTTTGTTGCTAAATGTCTGCTTTGTCCTTATTTTCCAACGCTGAAGTTAGATTTGGCTCCCGCATAAACTTTGAGCTTGTTCTCGTCTAGTTGGTGGGATCTGTGTCTCTCAGTGCTTAAGGGTTCTCTGTTAATATTCATCTCAATCTTGCTCCATAGTTTTCCTCTCCCAACGCCTGAGGATTCGGGACCCAATGTTGCCACGGGAAGAAACCGACAAACAGAGAAATAGCACTCGGTGAATGAGTGGCACACAAGTCAGAAACACGAAAGATACAAAGAGGAGAAACCCTTATTCTGCATCATCTTGTGTAACAGGTGTGCATGACGATGTCTCTGTTTATTATAGCGGTGACATTTTGGATTGATGCCTGGTATAGAGGCGCTTTTCCACTGTCTGAATCTTCTTCTCAAGGTCTCATGCGCTTTCATCCAAACTCTTGCCCTTCCAAACCTCTTCTCCAGTCTTTTGAACTTTTGTTTTCACTCTTTTTTTTTTCTTTCTTCTTCTTTTTTTTTTTTTTTTTTTTGCCCTTGTTCGAGCCTTTCTTTTTGTTTCGTCTGAACTGAAAAATGTCCTTGTGTTGGTTTTGCTTTAACTATGTTTTACAACCCTTCTTCTCCATCTGCTGTTCAGATCGCAACAGAACTCGACGGCCAGACCGTTGCCATGTCGACCTCATCGCTACGGCGACAAGTAAAGAACATGGTCCACAACTACTCAGAGGCTGAAATCAAGGTTGTGTTTCCTTCTGCTTATCCGGCTTTTCTTCTCTTCTACTTTCTTGTCTTACACCCACTTCCCCCATATGTTTGTTGCTTAAATGTAACCCATGTTTCTTCTTAATACATATGACATAACATATCTCCTGATAATCTAATATTATTTTGAAGCAACCTCCTTACTCTTTCCCCTGGTTAACATAATGAGCTTAATCTAATCATTATCAGTTCATTAGGTTTCCTCTCTCCGGCTTGTGTCATTATTGAGTTTGCATTGCTACTCAGAACATTGTGGAGCCTTAACTTGTCCCAATGTATTGGGCCTGAATTATTATTCTCACGGACAGTTTGGATGGAGGAGGATTTCGAGTTTGTCCCTTTCTGCGTTGTTGTCCAGGTCAGAGAGGCGACCTCCAACGACCCATGGGGCCCCAGCAGCTCTCTGATGTCAGAGATTGCTGATCTGACATACAATGTTGTGGCCTTCTCGGAAATCATGAGCATGGTGTGGAAGCGCCTCAATGACCACGGCAAGAACTGGAGACACGTGTACAAGGTTTGTGTTGTGCAACACTTTGGATGCCGGATGATGATGATGATGATGATGATGCTGCTCCAGAAGTATGTTAAATCTAAATGCTTTACTGCAGACTAAATTATTGAGTGTTTAATGTATAGGTTTAGTCAATGAGTGAGCATGGGAGTAATTACAGACACAGCCCAGATATATCTGCTGTTCTATGAAATGCGTAAATTATATTTCATGACTTTATAGTAGTTAGTGCATGTTTGAGTGTGTACTTGTGTATGCATGGATCTAGTTGGATTGCAGCCTACAAACTGCTTTCATATTTACATTTCTACTACCTGGTTTTCCAGACTGTTTCTACAGTTGGTCATTGGTTGTGATTTATGTTTTCGCCAGGCTATGACTCTTATGGAGTACCTGATCAAGACCGGTTCAGAACGTGTTGCTCAACAGTGCCGAGAGAATATATACGCAGTCCAGACCCTGAAGGATTTTCAATTCATAGACCGGGACGGCAAAGACCAGGTAGAAAAAAACACACCATGTCCATAAAACTACATAACCAAATGTAAAATGTTTCGCCAGTACGGTCCACTTTTGTGGAATGTTAGCGCGCTTTGATAAACGTGCCACTTGCGATTCATTCAAAGACATTTTACAATGAGTTTCCGACCTCTTGTGTAAACTAACCCAGCCAGTAAAGGTTTTATTGGTTGTTAACTGTAGACTAACCAGAAGGTGTGCAGGGCGAAAACCGTACAGGTAACTAAATGTATGTTTGTTAATCTGACATGTATTTCTTCAGGGGGTCAACGTGCGAGAGAAAGCCAAACAGCTGGTGACGCTGCTGAAAGATGAGGAGAGACTAAGAGAGGAGAGGATCCACGCCCTCAAAACCAAAGAGAAGATGGCACAGACCTCGAGCGGTGAGATTGGTACTTAAAATAGATGTTTTAAAAGATTTAAACGATGCTTCAAGTCACATTATTACACTCTGAGAGATAGGTGGGCTCACAATAACATAAAAGGCCTTTTAGCTCCTGGTGGCTGATGACCCAATACAAGCTCTCATACATGCATGTGCTTGTTTGTCTCTGCCTCAGCCTCCTCCGCTCCCTCAGCACCCAGCCTGGGGGGCAGCCTGTCAGCGGGCTCCCACTCTGGAGGGGCGGACCCTGAGCAGGCCTGGCCACAGAGCACCGGGGAGGAAGATCTGCAGCTCCAGCTGGCCTTGGCCATGAGTAAAGAAGAGGCAGAGCAGGTGACACAAAGCAACACATTCAAGACGAGCGCAACCACATTGACGGAGATTCGGTCTAAAGCGTAACTGTGACCGCCTACAGCTAAGTTTGCAGTTTGTCTTGTCATGTGAGAGCCACTCTGTGCTCGGAGGGATGTTACTGATAGTATTCACTACATAGCTCCAGCTTTGCTCTCACCATGTCATGCCTGACCTACCCCAGACTGTCAAGGACCCTCTGGAGGACGCAGAGTTCTGCTATGCAATCACACTCAGCAAAGAGGCACAACAAAAGGTCAGGGGCAGAGAGTGCGCCCTGCTGGCTGGCCTTTCAGTCAGCAACTATCTGTCTTTCTTTCATTCGGAAATCCTCAAACGTGCATCACCTATTGATCAGTCAAATAATCTATGCTCATATGTGTCATGTGTCGGCTCACTCAAGACGTGTGAACCAGACAGCGGTGATCTGGTTGCGATCATTTAGTTTGGTGTAGTTTCACTGTCTTATTTTGCAACTCGCACGTCTAAAACGTGTGAAGTTGGTGCTTTTCTAATGTAATGAAAGGGAGCACCCAAAGAATCGATGAACGCTAATTTGATTTTGAATTTGCGGGGCATTGGTGAATATTTTTCACTATTGACTAAATTAAACACTGAACGATTTGTAAGCATTGATTACTCTTTCCTCTCTGATAGCATGTGTTGAATTGTAGTCTTGGTACAAAACCTGTCTCCTGCTGTTGTAGCTTCCTTGTCCCGGGTTTGAGCGAAAACCTTGTTCGTCTGTTGTATAGAAGTGATCACTTCCTCCTGCACACACCGTACTATGGCCATCTCCTCTTGTGGATAAATCGGTGTTTTTAGTTGTTTTCACAGTTAGTCCTCCTTGTAGAAAGGTAGGATTAACGGTGGCATACCACAGGGATGTCCCGGGACAATCTCTCTTTTTAAATGGATTACATTCCAATCCTTTTCTTTATTGTAACTTTCTATGCTCCGCTGGATTAAGCTAAATTGTGCATGCCTATTCTTAATCCAGCATTTTGAGCGAGTGAACCACGAGCAGCAAAAACTGATTTAAAATCAACCAATGGCACGTCAGCAAGTGAACAAACCGCAGCTGCTTTGTAGCAGTTCCCACTCCTATAGGGGTGATGCTGGTTGAAACTTCAATTCTACAGCTGTTTATTTTAGGAAGCCATGTGACAGCAGGTCTGCGTGAGCTTAATTTCTTTGTGAAACAAGCACCGTCTGATTTTGTGTTTTGTTGAAAACCGTGAGAATTATACAAAATTTCAAACTCATAAATGATGCAGTTATTGGTTGACTTGTTTTCATTTTTTGTTGACTGGAGACAATAATTACATATCAGTGCCCCCCCCAATAATTCAGACTCAGATTGTGAGGGTGTAAACTGATCCTGAGTCAGTACCTGTGGTGTGGTTCCCGAGGTTGTGTGCTGACATCACTATGTCTGATTGGCAGGAAGAGCGACTGCGTCGAGGTGACGACCTGAGACTGCAGATGGCCCTCGAGGAGAGCCGGAGGGAGAAATCTAAGCCTGAGGAGGTTCGTGTACTCAGGATTGAATCCAAGTCCGTGTTCACATCTATGTCCATATACATATCCAACGCGGAAGATAACAAAGTCACTTCCACTAATTATTGCCTAACTACTCCGGAATTTGTCAAAAAAAACTTTCCCCATTTAAAGAATCCTGTTCAAATGGGGCCTTGATGTCCAACGCCTCTATGTTTTTATTTTTAAATCCAGTTAAGTAAGATATCATTTTGACTCTGGTCATCAGATGTGTCAGTTAAGATTTCCTACGTTCATCATACGCGCAAATGGAACATGGCTTTAGGCTCGCATTCTTTTTGTTGCAGCTGTAATTGTCATTGTATAACGTGTCCACAAAAGGTTTATTCTGATTGTTTTTCCCTTTCCCACAGACAAGGAACCAAGTAGTTTTTTTTCTTTCAGTATCACCTTGATGTGTCTGCTGCGCATTTCTGTGTCTGCTTCTAGTTCTCTGGTTTGCGACTTTCCTCGAATACGCTACTGGAGGTTAAATCCATGATCTGTTCTCCTGCACAGGGGGCTCTGATGGAGCTGAGTGCCGCGGACCCCTGGGGGGCCCCGGCCGCCGCCACAGCGGGGAGCTCAGCAGGCCCGTCGCCTCCCAGCACACTTCCCGCCCCGACCACCTCGGGTCCGTGGGGCCCCGCCCCTGCCGACCCGTGGGGGGTAGCGTCACCCACATCGCCTACAAGTTCTGACCCCTGGGGTGGGGGAGCTCCCCCACCCGCCATAGCCCCTCCTCCGGACCCCTGGGGAGAGACGTCCAACAGGGTTAACAATGTCGACCCCTGGGGGAGCACAGGTAAACAGCCGCAACACTGGCCGGGTATCAACGCCGGACCGCGTCCTGCTCTGGTGAACCGAGCGGGTGTGAAGACCTCTCGACCTCTAATTCCTGTTCCATTTTCTCTCGTGTCACCGTGCTGTCGTATCTTACACACACACACGCTTTCATTTTGTAGCGACGAAAGCAAGCATGCGAAATCCACTCTCCCTCTGTGTCTAAACCAGGGATTTGTATCCTCTTGTTTCTACTCAGGACTGGCTGGCTGTGTCTCAACCAGAGCTGTCTCTTGTCTTTCCCTTTTCTGTGCTTCTTTTTGAATGAACGGGGTAGCTGCTTATCATCTCTCCTTTACCTCCACTGAGCTGCAGAGATTGAAAAGGGTTAAAGGAGACAGCTCCAGAAACTCTGCTCTCATCTGTCCTCGTCAAGTTAGTGGGATGGCCGAGGTCAAGGAGAGAAAGGCCAGTGTTGGAACCCGGCCCAGCTCCCTGCCTTTCATTGTGGATTGTAAATGTCAGTTGTGGCGTTAACCCTCCCCTCCCCTGCGTCACCTCTCCTCCCCTCCCATGTAGCTGTGACTCCCCCCAGTGCTGACCCCTGGGGTCCCTCAGTTCCACCCAGCACGTCCTCCTCGGGGGGGCCAGTAGACCCCTGGGCAAGGGACGGGCCTGTCCTTGTCTCTGACCCTGTCACCTCCGACATCTGGAGTGGCACCGCCAAACACACAAATGGCACAGGTACATTGACACTTAAAGCTGCACAGACCCACAAAACACTGAGGTACTGGTACAGACTACATATTTAAAAAAAGGGATTGTACATTACACAACGCAGATTTGCAATTGCATGCACAAAACGGTTGTCTTGTCCTACATTTCATCCTCGTCTAGTATCTGTTGCAATGCAGTTCTATATTGTGTGTTTTTTATGATGAAAGACATTTTTTTAGGTATTATGATGTTTCTATTCCACCTCCTCAGGAGACCCAGAGCGACGAGGGTCCCCAGCCACAGGCTGCAACAGCACAGGCTCCCCGGTGCCCTTTGACCTGTCATCTCTTGGTTCTTCACTTCCTATACGTAAGACTCCTGAGTCCTTCCTCGGCCCCAACGCAGCGCTGGTGGATCTTGATTCCCTGTTGTCGTCTAAACCCAAACCCAAACAACCGCCGCCTCCTTCCATCTCTTCGTCGTCAGCGCACAACCCCTTCCTCCAGAACACAGGTTAGTTACAGATACTGCAAACATCGAGTGAAACTTCTTACGACAGGAACCCCGGTTTATGTTTACCACATAGACACTTATCTGAACCAATACAATAATAGCACACACCGCTGGAAATATTAAAGTCTGGGCTACGACGCAAGAAAATCCGTTCGAACATGCTCCAAACGCAACTCTAACAATTATTACAGTTATGTATTGTATGCAAAAATATTGTATGCAAAAATATTGTATGCAAAAAAATTTGTGCAGACTTCTGCCAAAACTGAACACACTCCAACAATGATACTGGGAAAGGAAACAACACCACCACTCATTTTTCAGGGTCTGACTCTCTAATCTAAGCACACTCACAATGTTCCCTTTTATCACAACAGAATTTTCAAAATAAAACTTTTTGTTTTCATAAATGGTTTACAGTTTGTAAATGTAGTTTTAAGCAGAGGCCTAAAAAAGGCCTTGTGCTAATAAGGTTGAGAATCCCGTGGCAAAAGTTCCCTCCAGCTCTGCATACATTGTTTTTTCTTTTGCTTGCAATACGTTTTAATCACAAATTGGAAACACTTTCAAAATGTGCAACAGCTGTGATTACTGGATTGACCTTGAAGTTCCTGTGGCCGGCCCGGCCTGCCACTAGCGCCCACAGGTACACTACAGTAAAAACACAGAGCAAATCCGTTGCCTAACTGTCACCTTTGGACTCCCAGGCTCATCTCCTGCCCCTGGCATGGCAGTGACTCCTGGCAGCACCATTTCCAGCAGAGTGGTTTCTCCAATATCAGCTTCCTCCAACCCTTTCGGCGTTGGCTGCGTCCATGACCTCCATCTCGCCTCAGCCCTCGTCACTTGGCCTGAGCGGCCTGCGCTCCAGTCCCGTGCCTCCCAATCCCATGCTGGGCATGGTGCATCCGGGAATGGGCCTGGGGCAAATGAGTGTGGGTATGGGTGCTCCGGGAATGGGCCTGGGCATGATGCAGGCCAGCCCCATGGGCATGCCCTACAGCGGGCTCTCGCCGATGGCCCCCCCGGGCTCATCTCTGTTAGCCGCAGCACCCCCTCAGCTGATTTTGGGTGGGCCCACTGGAACAGGAGGAGCGATGGGAGCAGGAGGCTCGCTGGGAGGTGGAGGAACGACGGGAGCGAGCACCAACCCGTTTCTCCTCTGAGGAAGTGTCAGTCTCCACTTTGCTCACCTGTTTTGAGCTCCTGCTGCCCCCTTAATTCACCCCTCCCCCCCTCCTCAACACGATTTGTGTCCAAAAAGAAAAATGTGTACATCTATATATTTAAAGAAAAAATGAAAAAAGAAAAAATTCAGTTTATCTTTTCCTTAAAAAGCACTATTTCATTTCGAAATAATTTACCACATTTAGCTCCTTTCATTTCAGTTTGGGTTTGTGGGCGGGAAATATAAATCTATTTATTTTGTTTTAATCCTGTTCTGTATTGCTCCTCATGTTGTGGGTTTTTTCAGTCCTGTCTTCAGGTGAAGGTGAGTCCGTGAGAGCAAGAGCCTTTTTTCTTCTCTTTTTTTTACCCCCAGTAGTGTCACACTACTGCTGTAATATTACTGCACTGAGAGGGAGGTGGAGGGGGGGGACATAGCCACTAACAGACTGAACAGAGAAAGTGTTGTACCTGCCTCTTCCTCTTCTCGCCCCCTAAAATGAGGACAAACACTGAATCACTGAAATGAAAAGAGTGCATGAAGGATCAGTTTTTAAATGAAGCCACCCGGTCAGTCAGAAATACGGACTGAAAAACCTGCATTAACTATTCAGGCACAACGTTGTCTAATAGTTTTCAACTATTTCACTTTTAATTTAATTCAATGTTGAAATTAACTTATTTCTTTTTCCATTTTTTTGGGGAACAGATGAGCAAGAAATCACACTATGCCATTTAAATCAAATGATTATTTTTCCCCTCCCTTATTGTAGAGAGCACTTGGATCTGTGGTCTGAGGATGACAAAGGGTGGGACGTGTGTTGAATGTGTGTGTTTGCAGCAATGTGCGAATGACAATATGAATGCTTATTTGTGAGAATGCAATAGTGCAAATGCCTTGTTGGTTTAAATGTATCAATATATGTCTCCAATTCTCTCCTGTGTCAGACCTTATTTCAGTGACTCAGAAAGGAAGGACATCCATTATTTTTGATTTTTAAAAATGGTCACTTGTATAAATACTATGTAATGTTGGGATTTCAAATTCTAAGGGTCACACATTTCTCTGCCAATCTTGTTAATCACAAGCATTATTTTTTTTCCCCCAATAACATTTCAAAATGGGGTCCCTGGCGTCCCTTGTTCCATCTCATCTCATGTTTCAAGACAATTATTCAAACAAACGACCAGAAGAAAGAAATGGGATTACCAACATGCTCCATGCTGTTCTTTTAATTTAGTTTGATGAATTTATTGTTTTATTTTATATCAACAAGAAAAATCTCTTTTATCGGGTAAGGTTGAATTTTGTGTGGTGACAACTGAACATTCACATTTGAGAAGAAAATAGAAAAAAAATGAAAAGGAATTTATGGAATAAAACAAACACAAGGTGTGCGTTTGGCTTGTTTCATACTTTTTCCTTATTTATTGTCCATACATGTATTCTTTTTCCTTGACAGAGAACAATAATGGAACCAAAATAATACACTTTATTTTCTTTTAAGACTATGTTTAATCTAAACTCCAACAGAAAAAACACACTTTCGATTATCTGCAGGAGAAAAGCTAAAAGCTATTACAAGTTATGATTGTGAATAAAGATGAATGGCTGTAGGACTTCAGTCATTTGTCACAAATGCAGCCTCTGCATCGACTCTTAGTGAAGACACCACGTGTCTCCGAAAAGTTCTGTTGTCCTTTTTCCACACGGACGTCCAGAGTCAGACGAGCAGAGAGTCCCAGTCAAAGTCGTCCTGGAACTCCTCGCTGTTGCTGTGCAGACTCTTTAACGGAGGACGCGGCCGTGGCGCCATGAACTGAGGCTGCATCCCGGCTGAGACAGAAAGAGAAACCGTCACTACGGTACCAACCAAAGGGGAAGTGAGACATGGTCCACTCATCAAGTTCTCCTTCACATTCCACTCAGTCCTTTTAACTTTTTCGTGTCTTACCGGTGGTGTTTGCAGGCTGAGTTAGCGGAGCCCTCTGAAGGCCCGGTGCCGTGTGCGGGGCCCTCCGGGGCGGCTGCACTCCACTGATGGGGTGAACCATGGGGGAGTAAGGGAGGGGCGAGGGGTGAGTCAGGCTGGCCAGGGTAGGCGGGGGATTGGAGGCCAGCGGAGGGACCTGTAGTGGGGAGTTATTCCCTGAGGTGATCATGCCTCTGTGAGTGAAGAAGCGATTCAGAGAGTCGCAGAGGGAAGTGAAGAGCGCCGGGTCCAGGGCCCAGTCGCAGAGCTGTGCCTGCCGCATGCTCTCCAGCAGGTCTGGTGACACAAAGCCAGGGCCTTTTAGTGCAAGAAATAGCAATGGGGGAAAAGTAAATGTTTAAAAAAACACAGGTTATCTTTTTACTACCCTTTTGCAATGACCCCAATAATCAAGATAGTACTGTCTGGGCAATAAAATGTGCGTAGAAGCTTTTACTTAAACTGCAAATAACAAAACATGTTTTTGAAGTTCCCTGGAGATACTTTATCTATTTGTATCTGGAAGTTTTGAGAATTCCATCTCGAAGACGTCTCCTTTCGCTCCAAGCCATGGAGACAAATGTAATTTAATTGGTTTGCTTCTCATCCAGCCAAGTCTTTAACTGACTTAAAATCTACCAATTATTTTCTCAGGCAATCGTGTTGGCTAAGTCCCAACATCATTTTCCAGGGCTCATGGTGAAGATATTCTAATACACTATCTACCATCTTGTTTGTTGTTTGGTTGTTGATGGTTAAAAAGATAACTGCCTGTTGATTTTATCTTGCACGATTGATTTAACATTTCAGTCAAGTGTATTCGTTCGTCTAACGTTGACAGTCTCAATAGAACCATCAATATCTCAAAACCTCCAAAAAAAACCCGAGCTGAGAGACTCCGGTGTGCGGCACAGACCTGGGTGACCGGAGAGGTCGATGTTGGCCCAGTCTAGATTGCTGGCGATGCGGAAGCTCTCCTTCAGAGAATCCGGGTTGATGAACCAGTCGGCTGGCACCGCTGAAGCGCAAGGGAGGAAGGCCACTTTAGAAAGCACCGACATTTTCCTCTTGTGTTGCTGTTTTCGATTCAACACGAGCTTTGCTGGACGTAACGTCACACGAGACTCACTGTATTGCGAAATGCGCTCCGCCTCGGGGGGGTTCGCAGATGTTTGAGGCGGTGCAGGCGGCGCCGGGCGAGGGGACATCGGAAGCAGAGTCGGCGTGTGAAGTGGAGCCGCGTCGTTGTTCCCAAGAGCCGGAGGAGCAGCATCCGCTGGAAAGACCGGACAGATAAGCCATTCATCCACGCCCGTGCATAGTGTGCCCCCCCCCCCCCCAAAAGGTTTGTGCAGAAGGGATGTACTCACACTGTGAGCCTCCCCTCTCCCCCATGGTCTTGAAAAGGGGATTGGAGGACGCATACCGGTCTGGAAAGTTCATCTCATCGAAGGTGAAGCGCAGCGCAGGGTCGGCGGAAGGGTTCGAGGAGACGACGGCGGCGGCGGCGACAGCCGAGGGCGACAGAGAGGCCCCCGGCGCCGTGCACTCAGACACCGAGACGGGAGCGCAGGAGAAAGAGGGAGCGGACCCCGAATGAGGGAAGGACAGGGGGGCATCGGAGAAGGAGGCAGCCGCCGGGGAGGACGCGCTGTTGGCGGGCAGGCGCGCGGCGGGATCGGGAAAGGTTAGGCCGGGTGGATGGCGAGGTGGGAAAGAGGCGACGGAATAGGTGGAGTCGGCAGGGTGGAGCCCGGCCGGAGGATGAAGGTGCACGGGGAGGGGGGTGCACGCGGGGCTCTGCGGGAAGGGCGACGGTTGCTGCGAGGTGAGGACAGTCGATTAGATGCTGATCTGATCGCGGTAAAGAGGGGAGGAAGTGGCCCTACTTGCACGGGGAGGGGAGAGGGAGACGGGCGGGAGGGATGCGGCTGGACGGCCCCCGGAGCTCTGCGTGGGAGGCCGGACGAGAAGGGGCTCCTCGCTCCGCTTGTGTCACCGAGGTTTGAGGAGCCTGCAACAGCGGAAATGGACAGAGGGTCGTAAAAACATGCTCCACGTTGCAAAGCATTACTTTAGAAGTGTTGGTCCAACATAAATATGATTGATGAAGTATTTAAATGTCAAATGCTCTGAGCATTAAGTTTAACTAATCGCTTTACTGCGGCGGATGCCCTCAACATCAGCACTGTCATGGCTGAAAAGCAGTAGATAAGATATAATGTGTTGCTCTGTTCGTTGAACCAACTTTTTAAAGTAAAGAGGTATCGGGAAAAACTTACTGAAAGATGGAGTGAATGAGTTGTAAATTAGTCATCTTAGTGAGTTTTAGTTTAAAATTATAATTTGCAGAGGAACTATTAATTGGAGCTTAAATGTTAATGTAGGGCAGGAAAGGGTTTAAATTATAGGGATAAAATGCCAGAATCCCAAAGTTGAACTTTATGTGGTTTCACAGCACATCTGCCATTTGAAGAATATAGTTTAGTTAGTTAATGAGTGAGTGAGTGAGTCCAATCAAACCACATACATCCTCCTCTGGATAGGGACGCTTATGTCCCCTCACTTGATTCTCTTCTGCGGGTCCATCCATCGTCCAATAGGAACCCTGCAAATACAGTAGAGAATTCTCAGCTTTCCTCTCTTTTAAACAAACCACCAACAAGTTTACAGAAAGTAGTTCACCTTGCCGGGGTCACTCTGTGGGCGAGGAACTTTCCTGAAGCATTTATTAAGAGACAAATTATGCCGAATGGAGTTCTGTTAAGGACACAAAGTCAAATAAGTCAAATAATTCAGGCGTGCACCACCCGACGATGCAAGTAAACTTAGACTTTAGGAACAGAGTTATTCTAATACACTAATAGAGTGATGCTACTTGAAAAGCTTACTTTCCATCCACGACCAGCTCGGCTGTAGTGGGGAAACCTGTCGCTGATCCAGGTGTAGATGTCATTCAAACTCAACTTCCTCTCAGGTGCAGCTGCGATTGCCATGGCGATGAGAGTGGCATAGCTGTGGGGGGGTTTCCCTTTGTAGTTGGGAGGCGGGGGGTCTGGTAGGGAGGGTAGGAAGTCTCCTCGCTCCCTCCCTCGGTCTTTCCTCTTGTCCCTCTCGCCTCCTCCTCCTCCTCTGTCTTTCCCTGAGCGCAGGCTGCTGGTTCCCAGCTGAGGCAGCCAGTCAATACTGGTGAGACTGGAGTTCAATTCATTGGACATTGTCTCTCTCTCTCTCTCCAGGCACCGAGTGATCCGAAGAGGAAGCGCTGGATCAACAGGTCCTTTTGCTTTGGCTGCTGGTGCGACAAACACCAACACAGAGGCAGGCTTTAGTGGATCGTAATGTAACACTGTCAACCATGAGATTCCTGGACTTGTACCGAGCGAGTTCAGGCACTTTGTGCTTGGCACGCCAATGACACATTTACACCCACACTTTCTATTCTCTGAGGGAGAAGAGTCGCTTACCTCTTTACAGTCATTCGAGGCCTGAGGCCTTAAACTTAATGGTTGATGTCAGGGATTCTGCTCAACTCCTGACCAACTGGTGTCCGCGGCTCTCTTTGGTTCTCGCTCCTCAGCATGATAAATCCCACGCCGGGCGTCCGGTCACACCTTCGGTTTGCAAAAGTTTAGGTTCTTTTGGAGAAACACACACACAAAAACGTACCGGAGAGCTTCCTTTTTCTTTCCCTCTCTCCTTCCCCTCCCTTTCAGAGTTCCCTAGAATTACGTCACTCACCACTCCCTCTTTGTGACGTCACTCCCTCCGCCCGCCTCGCTGAGCTGGTCCCTCCTCCTGAGCTGCTCTGCAGCCGGCTCACCAGGAAGTCAATAAAGGGGAATAACATTTATGTTTGTCTTTAAACTTCTTCGTCCCTGCACGCCCTCATACCATCAAATAAGGCGTGTTTGATTCAGAAACACAAAAAGTAGTACAGATTTTTTAATAGCAGTGTCACTTTATTCAAGCATTTCATCAGCCTGTTGGAAGCAGGGACATTGTGCATGCACGCTTTATGTGGGACAGAATGACTGGGGACGATCTCCCTACAGAGCGCTGAAGAAGGACAGGAGGCCGGTGTCAGGGGACGGGTGGGCCATGAGCTTCTGGATCTGTTAATAAAGAAAATAAGGATTGTAACTTTCAGAACTTATGCTGGCAACATCAGCAGAAGGCAAGATGGCAGATTTACACCTGAACGAAGCGCCCAGTTTTGGGTTTCATCAGTGCGGGTAAACCGCCGACGCTTTATGATACATCCAAACAAACAAAGGGACAACTGTGTGAAGCACCTGCTTGAAGTTGGGGTGTTTGGCGTCTTGAACCAGCTGCAGCAGGACGGCCTCCGTGGTGGTGAGGTAAGCGCCGCTCTGCTTCAGTCGAGACAGAGCAAACAAACGGTCCGTCTGGCTGTGGAGGGAGACGCGTTACACACACACACACACACACACACACACACACCTCTGTAGTTACCAGACCCACACACACAGAAACACCTCTATAGGCAGTTTGATAACGATGCTGTGCAGCAGATACAAAATACAAGGTACCTCCTGGATGAGACTGCGTCGGCCACAATATGAACCTCAATTCCCCTTTCGAGCAGGTCATATGTTGTGCACTGTGGAGAGTAAACAGCCCTCTTTCATTAATGACATAATACCAGTACGTAACAATTATTATTTGTCAAATCCTTTTTTGGTCATTTTTAAGCGCAAAAGGTAGTTTTCTTTCATTGAAAAAAAACTGCCAAATAATTGTTTCCTGATTGATACAACTAGGCTACACACTTTCACTTCACACATACATTTATAATGCTGAGGGATAAAATGCCTGATGTCAAAAAAAAAAAGCGCACACGCCAGGTAGAGGATGAACATGGCTAAATATAATTGCATTCATCACTTGAAACTCATAACGCCAAGAGAGAAGAAGTCATTCAAAAAGCTAGACGGGATTGACGTTATCTTACTGCGATACAAGCGTGGGCCTCGATTCCACACAGAATAGCCTGCTTAGGGTTCCCCAGCTCCTGCAGCTTCTTCTCCACCTCCTCGATCATCATGGTGAATGACGTTTTAGCGTGAGCCGTCAGGTCTTCCGCTCCCAGCTCGGACACCGTGGGACCCAAGCCTCTCGGGTACTGCTCCGTCAAAATGGGTGGGATGCCCAGAATGCGACTGGCCTGAGGAGGACAATGTGGAGAGATAAGGATTACTTATAACTGGTTTGACTAATAGACGCAGAGATAACCGTGTGATTTTTCCGACCTGGAGCAATCTGGCCGCGTTGCTGACGATGTTGGTGAACTGGAAGATGTTGGGTCTGAACTTTTCTTGCATGTCACACAGGAGGAGCACGGAGTCCTTGGTGGAGAGCCTGCCTACACGTGCCACTGCAAGAGCAAGTTCACAGAATAAGAAAACAACACGTGTTCAGATAATTCCAGAGGTAATGGTAGGGAGCTCTGAAGGTTTTAACAATAACGTCTGGAGAATTGCGCATTGACTGTCAGGTTTGCTGGCTACTTTTGGGCTTTATTTGGAACTTCTAATTGAGTGATTCACATTGGTGCAATGTGTGTGTTCCTTGCACAAAATATTTCCTTCATCGTGTTGCATTGTTTTAGGATTAGGATGAGAATAAATAGTATCGTAGCTTAACACAAATGCTAGGTCCTTTTGTTATGAAGGCAAATATTTTTTTACTTACTGTTGTTTTCTGAATGGTCCGATTGTGCGGATCAGAGGGAGTGTGTGACAGGTTTAACAGGACCGACTCACAGCCCAAAGTGCAACGTCCTGTGCGACACCTCCTGTGTAATTGGAAACCTACAGGGAAGGTAAACGTTACCTATTTTACTGGCAAGTGAAAGAATGCATGCAATGTTGCATCAAACAGCACCATGTTAACCACACATGGAGCCAATATCAGGGTAACACTTACGTTGACAACAAATATGCGGATAAATCAAAATAACTTCTCTAGCATGTTAGCTAAGAGGACACACAAGTTCAACAGCCTTCCACGCGTCTACGCGAGTGTATCGACCAATAGAATTACGTAAACAGGCAACTGACGTTTCTGTGAACCAATAGCAGCTGCTGTTCACCGCGAATCAGCTCGCTTGCTCGAGTGGGTGGGAACCGTGTAGTAACCCAAAGTTGTCACATGAAAATGTCGGACAATGTGGAGTCCCCAACAGAAACGCATAAAGAGGAGCCGCATACGCCGTCAGACGACTCAACGACAAGTGATGATAAGAAAAAAAGTAAGAAAGTTTAACACATAACAAATACTACTATATTAGCGAATAATATCATCTGTTTGCGAGCAATGTTTACAGTGCTAAAGGAAGCAATTCCGGGTGTGTGACGTGGAAATGATCGACAGATATATTGGCCAATGGGAATTCATCTTTCTTCCGGTTTAACCAATAGACGTTCAGCTTTTAACAATGTTCTTCCGTTTGGCTCATGGCTAAAGCTAATGACGATATTTATTTGACAACATATCTATTGGTTGTGATTGAATACATTATAGTTAGAGAGGCTATTTAATTTAATAATTTGTCAAATGCATGTTTCCTTAGTAACCATAGCAACGTCACATAACATAACTAGGAATAATGTATTGAAGCTATGCTAACACACTGCGCTTGCCATCAAGCTGTAAAACTGTAACAACTAGGTTTATTGAAAATGTGTCGTTCAATGTTTTGCGCTGTGTTAAAGGTGTGTTCAGAGAATAAGCCCTATTAATTTCATAGCAGTGTGATGTGTGAGATTTGATTTAACGGTGGTTTGTTGTTCCAGATGTATTTTAGTGAAGTATTTTCGACCAAATGACGTTATTGTGTAAATGCACAAGTCATGTACAACCCTGCGATGAAACCAAAGCAGAGTGAACAAGACACCTCGCACACATTCTACGTATGTGTGGCTAAACATGTTGTTATGATCTATTGATAGTACCTACAAATTATAATTCAAAAGTTAAAATTATCGACATCAAAATATAATGCCCGATGCAAATTTTTAGTAATAAAGCTTAGTTTTCTGTCACTTTTTAGTTTTCTGTGTTTTGGTCATTGAAGAAAATATTTGACGACAGTGAATCTTACAGCTTAGAATTAACAACAAGTTAAAACAAGTTTAAACGTCTATATATCTGAACATAATATAATTATATCCAAATATTTCACATTTTGACCATAGGTATATTATCTATATTATCATCATCATCATATTGTTTTTTGTTTTTCCACGGTGCGATAGGGGTTCTGTCAGTGGATCAACTTCTCTAGAAATTCCCCCTGAACAGTTGCGGTTTTGATTTGCCCGGACCTGTCTTGAGGGCGAGCACCGCTTTAACTTTTTATTTTATCCATTGTAACAGTCGATGTGCTGCTGAAGGCAGTGGGAGACGCTCCTATAATGAAAACAAAGAAGTGGGCCGTGGAGAGGGGGAGAACGGTGCAGTCGCTGTCTCAGTTCATCTCTCGCTTCCTCAAGCTCGATACCAGTGAACAATTGGTGAGATCCAGTTTGTCCACCTTTACAAAATGTACAAATTGTCTTGGACTCAAGCTTGTTTCAGGTCTTTATATACAACTTAATCTGTTTTTCCCAACAGTTCATTTATGTTAACCAGTCCTTTGCCCCTTCCCCGGACCAAGACGTAGGGGTCCTCTTTGATGTGAGTACATACAACACGTTGTCACGCCCCGTGTCTGTAGAGCGATCTTTAATCAAGCTGCCACACATAATGCAATTTAAGAAATTATCATTTTAAAAGAGAAAGAGCAGATTAACATAAGTCACTTTTGGTTCTTTGTTTTTTTTTAATAAATTAAAATATTAGCAAAGTGGTTCATCCATGAACTTTAGGAACAGGATGTGTAACAAAATAACTCCAAAGGCCACTCACCAGCTTTTTCTTAGCCGTCAATCAAGCACAACAACGCATACTCGATTTCCGTTGACCATTAAATGTTTTTAAAATTGCATAAAAACATAGTAACTGGCTCCTACACACAAACTCAAACCAGGTCATAAAATTACAACACATGTTCACACAACGTGTATTCATGTTTACCTCACTGCACGTCAACAACACATTTTTAAATATTGATTGTTTTATTCCGTTATTGGTTAGCGTTGACAACTTTTCAGTGATGTAAACATTCCGTAAATATCGCCAGGAAACATAGTTCATATACATGTTGTAACTAATAATTTGGTTGTATATATATCTCTCTTGACCACATCATGACCTTTTACGACTTTTTACCTACGTTTTTACCGTATTTCTCAGCCCTCAATGAAATATTAGAAGTGTATGTAGTTGTCAGGCCTTTGGAGCTCAGTCCGTAGAAGTGAAACGGTCATGTGGAGCTTTGACCAGCAGGGGGGGCAATAAGAGGGAGCTCCATGTAAGTCCCCAAATCCCCATCAGGAAAGACCTTAAAGTGCGCAATTCATTGTCGACATCCGTTCTCCCTGGTGGACGATGTACAATGACATGAAAAAATGAATATGTATTTTTTTTTTTTTTGTGCATTTTTAAACTGTTTTCTCACATCAGTCTTGCTGTACTTTTTTTATTAAACATTTAATGTAATGTTTTTTTTCTTCTCTCTCTTTGTCTCTTCATCAGTGTTTTGGCAGCGATGGAAAGCTCATCCTACATTACTGTAAATCCCAAGCCTGGGGTTAAACGGCTCGGATCACCTTCCCCTTTCTCAAATTCATCTTCCAGACATGCACACAATGCTGTTTTTCCCTGTTTTTTCTTTCAGTTCTTCTGTAAATACGTAGTGTAAATAAATGATTGTAAATTCAAAACAGCCTTTTCAACTACTTTTTTGAAGGAATCACATTTGGCACCCAAAAATACACATGTAACCGGTGCTGATGAGGGAGAAAAAAGGAAAGCTAAATCATGTGGATCCATTGGTTCACAAACCTGTACACACTTAAAGTGTAGTAATAACCAGTGAAAGGCACATAGAGCTCAGACTGATGTTGAAGGTTTTTGGGAAAAGGCAGGGACAGCCCAGGGCACTACAGTAACAGATGGACTTAGAGGGAAGAGGGATTATATGATTCAGAATGGGTTTGTGACATAAATTCCCAAGAAAGAGCGGAGAGCGGAGACCGACGCTCAGTCGCTCCATCAGTCTTGCATCTCCGTCCAACTATTGGCCAGGAGGATTAAAGGGAGGAGCACAGCTGGAGATGTAAGGGCCACTCCTGGAGGAGGAATACTGGTGGCAGATGCACAAGGGGAAGATGAAGAAGTTCGGGGGCATGCAGAACAGGTTCAAGATGGAGTAAATAATATCCAGCTCTTGAGGAGGTTTTTAAGGGCTTTGGAACAAGGCGGATAGCAACCTCATGTTTGAGTGCTACAAGGGACAACAAAAATATCTTTGGTAGGTATTTGTCACTGATTCTTTAAAGGATTACTGCAGCCAATGATTCAGTTTACCAGTTTTTATCCAAAATGTCTCTAATTTAATGTATTTCTTTGTTATTTATACGGTTAATGGAGTAGCATTGGGTGAGGCATTGATGTACAGATAAAACGAGTAATACTGTGACTTAAAACTGTATATTGTGTTTTATTAACATATTTTTGTCAAACTCGAGTATATTTCATTTAGTTAAAAGGCTCAAATGAGGCAAATGGTGTGTGTCTGAAATTTGTTGTTGTTACTGTTGACAGTAACAACAAAGTTTTCTTTTTGTCACAAGGTTTTGGCTAAATCTAGCTGTTCCTGCTGTCAATCCATAGTCACCCTGTATATCTTCAGTATGTTACCACTGAAGAGTAATGTAAAATGAGAAGAAATTGTCACAATGATAATATTGTAATAAAGTGCTAAATAAAAATAAATATGTACAGAAACATACATATTTGTACAGATTGTTGTCTTTTGTTAACATGTAGGCATAATAATATCAAGATTTTTTTCAAAAGCTTTAAATAACGTGTTTTATTGTTGAACAATATTTTATTAACTAGAAATTGTCGGGCTTTGTGCTGAACTCTGTTGAACTGTGTTGTATTTCAGGGGCTGATGGGGAGTCATTGCGTGAGAACGAGACAGCAGAAATGGTCAGAATGCACTTCACACTAAAACACCTAACACAAACAGATTAAAGAAGATTATCAGGGATTACTAGCAAAAAATTCATTTAGAACTGTGCTTTATCCATAATTTCATCAGAAATAGTAATCTCTTGTTTTTGCTCCCCACCGTCTTGTCTTCCACTGACTCGGGATCCAGCGGCGGAGTTCGTGATGAGCGGCAGGGTCGGGCCTCGATGAGGTGGTCCGGGGACGAGGGTCTCTCAGCACCGCACACGTCGCTTGCTTTTTCATAGCCCGTCTTTAGACCCAGCTCGAGGACATATGTGTCCTTAGGCCCCTTTTTTTTTTTTGCCCGGAATATTCAACAAAGGGAAACGTCACCACGTGGACACCCTCATTTTAGCCTTCGTGTACTCTATTCAACAACTTGAAGTCACCTTTTTCTGTCCGGTGATGAATCGGTGTTTAAAGATGTCAACTCTCGCCTCATTAAGACATATTAGTCTTTTTGATGTTTATTTGCTACCATTGCACTGCTCTATTACGTGCACACAATAAAAAGGGTCTTCTAGTGGGGGAGTCAGGGGATGTATGGCCACAGTGATTCACCCCGGGGACCCATAGCAGGACGTCACATTAGCGCCAGCGTTCTGTTATGTCGTTGCATTTCTCCAGGAGTGAGCCGTCGTTCCCCGGACTCCTCTCTCCCTCTCGTTTTGTTCCACCTGTCCTCCCCCCGCGCGTACAAACGTCTGCTGCCTGAACATCGTATTCATCTTTCCGTTTGAAACCTGGCAGCTCATCACCTCTTCAAACCATCTGGCCCGGCCCTCACGCCTCCATCTGCAACTACGCCCTG